ACCAGTTTTTCATCTTCCCTTCTTATCCCTTTTTAAATACATATTACACTTAATTTCAGTTTGTTTTTAATATGTCTACTAGGTGCAATATTTGTTATTATTATCAATGCTAAAATAATTTATTCAAAGTTTAAGCCTTAAATCAACCCTTATAGGACCAAGTATGACATAGTTATTGTTAAAAACAAGTTTCTGATGAATATAACAATTTCATAATTTGAAGATCGCATAAATTTGCCCCTCCCCCTCCCACTACCCATCACTTCTTTTGATTTAGAATAATTATGATTTTTATCATCAATAATAATGATACTGAATTAAGTTTTTTAAAAACAAATTTAAAATTCATTGATTAATTTAATGAATAATTCATGATGTTGTAAATAGGTTTTTAGATACAATCATTACTAATTTCCTTTTATTAATAATTTGAAGTTGCTATTACTTTCAGATTTTAGTTTTTAAAAAGTTTTTAAACATCAACATACATATTTTAAATACATTTACATCACATTTATGTAAAACGTTTGAACTATATCATATCTATTTCCGTTTCTTTCATTTTTTTTTAATGTTTAAATTATCCTTTTTAAATAAATTTACTTATAGCTGCTTATCTTTTGTTACTAATCAAAGTTTGTATTACTTTGGTATTTTATTTTTTATTGAACATTAATGTTTATCAAATTTTTTTATTTTCCGTTTTTTATCACAGTAAAAAATAAATAATTTTCGTTTAATTTTTAATCGTTGTCCTGATTTCTTTTTAGTTTCTTACTGTATTAATATATTTCAATGTTTAGCTTTCATACTACAAACTTGGAGGATTTTCGGCTAACACTAAATATATTTTATATATAACATATATTACATAATATATTTAATGTTTAAACATATTTGCTGAATATTTTAAGGCACAGGCGGATCTATGGGGGGGGGAGGGGCTAAAATGGTAAAATATAATCATGTTTTACAGACAAAATATTAAAAACTATCTCTTAAAGTATTCATGTTCGTTTAACTACATTTAATAGGACTCCAAGAACCACTTAAACACCATTTCATATAGGTAGTTAATTTCTTTATTTTTTTTTTCAAATTAATTATCGTTATATGTATATAAAAAAAAAATCTTTCGGGCTGAAGCCCCCCAAAATTAAGTCCTGGATCCGCTAGTGGTTTAAGGTTGTTTTATTCCATATGCTTCGGGTTTCCACTGCATATAAATTCGGACTCTGGTTATAGAATTTTATGTAATCGGGTGCGTTTTTGAGAACTGATGCGCTCAAACATGTCGTATTTTTTAATTCCAAACAAAGAAAGGGTAAATGGCTGGGATTTCTTATAAGATATTCAATGTTGCAAGATGAATAAAAATCAGTACCGAAAGACGGCCCATGAAGGGATATCTCCAAAACTAATGCAAAAAACAAATTTTGGTTGAACCCATATAAATATATTTCAAACGCTGTTGAAGCGATTCAACCGTACGGAGAGCACATAAAATATTCTAAAGATTTTTTAATATTTGGTTATATAATTGATAAGAACTGAGTTGTGATTCAAAACTAATGCACTTAAATGTATGTTTTTTTACGTCCATTCAAGCGAACGCGAAACTGCTGGGATTTCTTCTAAAATATTCAACATGACATGATGATCGAAAATCAATCGTGTAAGACGAACCAAGAAAGTACATTGCCAAAACTAAAGAAATCTGGTGTAGTGGCAATCGTATATTATAGACCGGGAAAAAAAGGTGTCATATTTCATACTAAGATTTGTCCTTATAAATTCGTCATATCCATAGGCCAGATGAAAAATATGCAGTTCTGACAGCATATAGCCGCTGGAATATAAAATAGCGGCCATGTGAAGATAGATAGAGACCCTACAAAGGTTGTAAGCCTATATATAGAAAGAGCTTATAGATATATAAAGCTACTAACCCTTTTAATTTATAGTATTTACAGCCTTAATACATGAAATAATAGTCAGTTACCCCATGTCCGTGGATTTCAAGTCGAAAAATTGAATTTTTCGGTTTTTCACTTATATCTATTATGATGTCATATCTGAAATTAAAGGTGACAAAATTAGCAATCGAAATGGTTATATTAGTTTTTTTCGCTATTCGCTATTCTATAGTTTCCGTGATATCCGTCCTCGTAATTAAATTTTGAAAAAAAAAAAAAAATATTTGCATCGCATTTTCATCATTACTTATCTTTTCATTTTACGAAAAAGTCATGATGAAGAAGGTTGTTTAAATTTTCTTTAAGAATATATATTACATTACAATCCTATCTTCAACTATTCAAAGACTAGAGCAATTATAACTTAATAATTAAACTCCGAAACTACACAGAAAAACTTAGTGCCACGGGCTCTAAAGTGGACTTACAATTTCCACTTACCAACCTTAGAGTAGATCTTATAGGAAGTCGAAGTGAAATAATTTACATTTAAATTTAAAACAATTAATTATGTTTTTCTCGACCATCGAATCAGTTAAATTTATACATTTGCATCACTTTTCTTTTACGACTGTGTATAGTATCAAACAATATTAATGACTGTGGGGAAAATGGATCTTTTGGAAAAATTCTGAGTTTTATAGGAAACATTTATCATAAAACTCGTCGAAAAAATAACTCAGGTAACTTTAGTAAATATTGCATATTATTGGGTTAATATAAGTAAATCCTCAAAATTTCGCGTGAAAATCTTTTTAATCAATCATGCAAAAGTGTATACCCCCCTGTACAGAAGGGTGTCGGGTATTTGTAAAGGTTTGATCGGTAAAGGTTGGCTAAAAAGCCGAGCTTGCATTAAAACTTATACCCCAAAGCTTCGTACCCTTATTTCCCCTTTAGTTAGAAATCAATTTTCTTCATTATCCATATTTAACCATTTTTTATAGCAGGTTAAAATATGAAATTGTTAATTATTTCAAATAAAAAAATTAAAGGCACTTTAGAGGAAGAAATTTTTAAAATTAGGCATTTAAAACCCATGTTGGAGAACATCCATGAGAATTAAGACCTACGTTATATTAAAATCCGCTTCATTTTACATTGATATAATGAATTTAATCAAAATCGTTCCCGAGAAAATTGAAACAATGTGTAAAATCGATAATATAAAGTGGCACTTCCGGTTTCCCGATTTTAACCAATTAGTTGTTGTAACATCCCAGGCATGTACAGACCTTAAATACGCAATTTCAATTGCGTACGACTTTCCGCTTTTGAGCAATACTCCAGGATTTAATTTTGTGGGAAGGTAGAGGGTTCAGCCCGAACGCTACTTTTCGGTTGGATGGAACCTCAATTAATTAATAATAAATAATTCACTAGTCCACAATTAGGAAAAATATCTGTTACATTCAGTACTTAAAAGCAAAAAGCAAAATTAGAATGGATTTTTTATCAAGAATTTTAACGTTTAGCTCGTAAAAATATTAACTATTGTCTAAGTCTCATTCTCACCAAAGAGAAAAGCGACCAATTTGACCAATTTTTTTTTTCGGTTGACTTTTCCCACAAATACACTTAACAGCCAACATATTATTTTTTCTTTAAACTATAAATAAAATAAATATTTGAATTATATAATATTTTTGTCATCCTCAAAATAAATATTTATTACAATGTTAGAATGACAAATGTACATGACATTATTTACCTATTATTATAAACCGCTCCTGTTATAAACGTTTGCACTCATCACTTGTTAAGAATTTATAAAAAATATATACAAAACTTATAAAATAATTAATTTTAGCCTATTGATAAAGCAGCTGTATTAGAGACATATTAAATGGAGTAAAATATTAAATAATATGAAACAGCTTGAAAAATTAATTTATTTTGTTTAGGGGTGACGTCATTGCCCGACTCTGTTTTTATGACATAACGAGCTGCAGCAAGATTATCGTCCACAATATGGAGTATAGTACTTCCTCCTGTGTAAATGCAGGCCCATACTGTCACACTCCCATCTCCAGATAACATTGAAGGGAACAAACAGTGGTAAGTGTACCCATCCCGTTCTTGGTAGACTCTTCGGTGCCGAATATCTCCATAAATACAGAAATGTGACTCATCTGTAAACATAACAGCATTCCAATTAGTATCCTCACTTAGGCGTTTGCCGCATCATAATCTGGGAACATCCGGGCATGGTGCTGTTGCTGGAGGTCGTCTTAAAGGGGTATAAGATCTTACACCAACTTCACACTAACGACTACGAATGGTTTGTATTGATATGGGCCATGGCAGAACATTTGACACTTCATTTAGGCTCAGTCGAGCACTATGAAAAGGGTTGCTTCTTGTAGTAATAACAATATTTCTGTCATCTATTGGTGCCCTAATATGCTGAGATCCACTAACATGTCTACTGTTGCTACTTTCGGTTAATTAATTAAGATTGATAAAAGTCAAAAACAACTGTTGGTTTACACAATGAGTATTATTCATGTTGACTACCTTTTAGTTAACAATTTATTCAAAATAAAGAATACCTGTTGTTTACTTTTTATATTTACCAACAAATAATAGAATCCTTAATATACAAAAAAAATAGAGTATTTCAATTAAAACGAATAAAATAAAAATCAATCAGAAATATTGCTACTCATTTTCGAGCAGTATTGATTCAAATGTTTTTGTTTTTTATTTGCATATTTATGTTCAAAAAATGTTGAATTATTAGTAAAATAGATGAATAAAATAAAAATCAATCAGAAATATTGCTACTCATTTTCGAGCAGTATTGATTCAAATGTTTTGTTTTTTTTATTTGCATATTTATGTTCAAAAAATGTTGAATTATAAGTAAATTCTTATTTAATATTGTATTCCCTGTATAATATTCTACACAGTAACACAGTAACATATGTAGTTAGATGAAGAATAGGTTAAAAATATCTGTAGGGTAAGAATAAATATAAAAATTAAAAGTGGGTGATATGGTGTCACAATAATGCTTGCAAATAAGGTTATAAAACATTTATTATGGTGGATGGAATTTAAATAAGCAAGAGACCACAAAGACAATTCCACATTAGGCAGCTTAATTATATCACATAAATACTTGAAGAACTGGTTTAGATATAAAAGCATTTACAGTCATAAAGTTTCTCTTTTTTACTAACAACTCATTTAATATTAGGCAAAACAGAACAACAAATTAGCTGAAAAATTTAAAAATTCAACATTGATTTAAATAATACAACTAATGTGATGGAAGGAAATTTAAATTTAACAGATCTAACAAACAACGCACATTAGTTTTACATAATAATAATAATAAATGAAGCTATAGGTACATATAAAACTTAAAACTGGAAGATAAAAATTACATTAACAAACTTTCTTTTATTTATAAACAATTTACATTATCAATACATCTAATTTACAAAAATATACAATTTAATTTTTGTCTGTACAATAAAATACAAAAAATAGATCTTTACAAATCTGTTAGCAAAAGTGTCATATTGATTGTCAAATTAAATAATATAAATAATTTTAATAAATTATAATACCAAGTTTAATTGAATGCCCATCAATTATATGCAGAACGAAATATGTTTCATTTCAAAACACTAGCTTCAGTAAGAGCATTAACCCACCTAAAAAAGAAATTAACGGTATTTTTCATTATATATACTTAAAAGACAAAATTTTAAAACTAAACTAAATAAGAATTAAAAAAAAAAAAACATACACAAAATGTTGCTAAAAATATTCAGATACAATAGCAAATTATTCAATTCTCACACTTAATTTTCAGCATTTGACCAATTGCAAACAAGAAAATAGTATTAAATTATTTATAAGTTTTATATATCAATTATTTAAGTGCCATGTATTTTGTTTTTTATTCCTTCGTAACCAACTCAAACTCACTGGCAGAACTTCCATAAGTTATAAATGCCTGTTCTCTGATTTATCTGGCTTCTGTGCCAAAATCATCAAATAATAATAGAATCTGAAGAAGTCGATTGAAAAAGATGCCATTGAAAACTTCTATTAGTATTCATGATTTTTAAACCAAAATTTCTGAAGTGAAATTAAAAATAAGACAGTCTAGTGCATCTCCTAACTTTTTTGCAATATCTGCACCAAATGAACAAGACAGGTCTGATCCCAAATGAGTAACAAACGTTGATCCCCTTGCGGTAATTTTCACAGGTTTAATGAGCTTCAGTGGGATTATGAATTCCTCTATGACTTGGTACACCCAATAAATATTGTAGCTGAAATCTATCAATAAATAGTGAGTGGCCATCTTGAGTACTGCGGAGGTCTCTAGAATTGTCCTCATCAAAAATATTTGGTCTGTTGATGATATTCCTATTCTAAAACCGTCCTGAATTAGTGATTGAGGTACAAAACAAGATGCAATGAAATGTGAACTCATATGAAAAAGTAATAAATCCCCTACAAAAATGAAAAAAAAAAACTAGCCTCTTTCCAGGAAAAAAAGAAAAATCATAGTCAAGTAAATAGGTCTAATCAGAATACTTTGAAACCACATTAACTTTTATATTTTGTTGGATTATATCATACCCTACAAAAGATAGTCAAGAAAACACACTACATTGTTTTCAATTCTATTATGCATTTCATATAAATTAATAAAAAAAAATAATTATTTAAATATAAAACATACATGTCAGCAAACTGCTTGTTTGGGGCAGAAAAAACTACAGGGGTCTGGCCAGCATGAGTCAATCTAAAAACCAAATTACAATCCATGTCTTCCACCTAAAATATTAAGAAGAAGAATATTAAAAATATCATAATTAAAAATAATAACAATAATAATAATATCATTCGCAACATTACCTCAACTCTTCTATCAACGGAATAACCCAAAACTGGTAAACTATCATGAGCAACAACGTCGTGAGATGCTTTATACATGTAAAGCACTTGATCCTTAAGAACAAACCACATTCGTTTCCAATCCTTTTTATGTTTTCGACACAACCAGCCGCTCATTGATGAACCGCTGTCATTGGCCATTACCTTATTGAAATAAAAACGATTCAATTATACAAAGCAATGATGAATCATAAATTTGATATTAATTGGGTTAATCAGAAAGTAATGTATGTTTTATTTTAATCTGATTTTAGTAATACCAGGAATGAATGATACTGTCCAATTGGTTTTATATTTTATGCCATCTTCAAGCTAATTTAATTTCCCTATCCTTCCAAAAGACTTATAGTAATTGATTTATTAACACAGAGAGATCATTCATTCAACAACCAGCTGTAACACTTATAGGGTGTCAATAATTTACACAACTTCCTAAGCATGTAACAGGGCTTATCATGCACAAGAATCAGATTTCAGTATTGATGTAGGTGTTCTCATACATATTTTCCAAACTTCAAAATGCCTATAATGAACAGAACTAGACTTAAACTATCATGTTGTTTAATGATTCATTATCACAGCTCTGATTCATATCCATTCAATCACACTATTCCTTTGGGGTTAGATAACTGATGAAATTGTGTGCCACTAGTTGCTCCTTAACAGTTTTCCACACCTCTTGTCTGATAACAGAGTCGTTTGTACACATCTTTAAAGATAATGATTGCTAAGTATAGTTTTTTCCCTAATGAGCTATCTAGTCACAGTCAGTAAATATAGGCAGATCTTTGACTTCCTTAAGTAATATAGAAAAAAGTGAGAAGAGGATCCACAAACAAGAAATAAGGAAAGCTCGATAAGCTTTCTGAAAACAAATTGTCAGCTGGGCTCTGTTGAAATCTAGATTCAAATCTTGTAATGAAGATAGCGCTCTACTAGCTAATATAATTAAGTACTTTGCTGATCTTTCTGCTTAATTGAGGTGCTCCTCAATAAAAAACAAACTAATCTTGAAGTAGAAGAAAATATTTTATGGCTACAAATCAGGTTGAAGGCATAGAGTTACTAGACTTTGAGGAGACTGAAGAGACGATTTAAACAAAGCCTCTATAAGAGATTAACTACTGGCTGAACGTTTCAAAAATGGTGGTGAAAATTTTTATATTTAATTTTATTTTCTCTATTATTTTTTAAGGAACATTTTTTTTTTAATTTTCTGTAATAGGTCTTATGACCTAAGAAATACTCTTCATCTTTCCGTACACCTTAGTTATTTATAAGGGACTTTGTTCCAGAACAAAGTTGCTTTTTCTATTCTACGATATTATCTTTAAAATATGGTAAGAAGAAATTAAGGCACAGCAATGCATCAATGAAGTGATACCTAGTAGGCTTATAGAGAAGGAGATCAAATTTTTCTACACCCAAAGACTATCGAATAAGGGCATAAGTACTTCTCACCACATTTTATCAATTTCAAATTCACATATGATGGTAGCAAGCATTAGGTAAGTTATATGAGGTTAACCTACAGTTATCAAACATAATCTTTACCAGTTTGTTATACACACATTTCTTATCTTTTATCACAATCTGTTTACTTTTAACTTACACGCTATATTCTATTTTTATTCATACTTATTTTCTATTTTTGTTTGTATCTTACATATATATAATACTTGATATTTTAATTACACTGTCACCCACTATATCTCTGATGTCATCTTATTATTTCTTTATCAGACAACTGTTTCTTATTTAATATCTACTTATAATTCATTTATTTTATTTTCACCATGTACCTTCTATATTTTGTATCTTTTGTAGCCCTGATGAAGACCTGCAAGGTGGGTCGAAATGTTGGCGTAATTAAAATGACTACTTTTTAAAAATTTAGTATTTATTTGAATACACCCTCCGGCCAATTCCTTCTCATATTATATCACGGTCAATCATCTCTACATCATTATTAAATTTTTATTTTAGAAAGAATATTATTTTACTTTTTAATTTTTGGACTCATCATATAGCTATGATAGCTAATTTACATAAACACCCAGTGTTAGCTGTTAATATCAGATTTCATAAATTGGCAGTCATATTATGAAAGTTATATACTACTTAAGAAATTATACTTTTTATCTCATTAAATAATGATATAATACACCAATACTAATTTTTGATTAATTTGGATAATGGGTCATAAACTACACTTCAATAAACTAAAATAGCTCCTGTTTATTCTTTTTATTCAATACGTTTCGATCCCTGTTTTTAAAATAAATAATGGGATCCTCTTCAGTTCTGGAAAAACAATATTCATCATTGGTACAACAAATGAAAGTTTTGATACATTTTAACAATAATCCTAAATTCATCTTACTTGCTTTAAATTGAGCATCGACACCCTGATCCTAGAGCCTGAGAATAATACCGATACCAGCAACAATAGTGTAAACAACAATTTCTGGTTGTAATTAAAACATTAAAATTGCCAAAAATAGTGAATTAAAATAAACTTGCATGCATCTATTTTATACTAATGTCAAATGCTAAACCTTAAATCAGATAACAATAAAATAAGATATACACAGCCTGTCATTACATAAAATAATAAAACAACATTAATATGATTCCTAATTCCGTCAATTGTCTTCTACTACCACTAAATTAACAACCACCAATAAAGCACGTATAAAACTAATCCAAAATCAGATCCTATCCCATACACGTACATGTATATATTTACACATATAAACATTTTTTTTATTTATTACTTATTTATATATATACTCACACATAAAAATACTGAATATGCAGGTAATGACTGGCAGTGTATATTTTATTTTATTGCTAACTGATTTAAGTTTTAGCATAGGTGTTTGATGAAAAAACATGCAAGTTTGTTTTAATTCATTATTTTTGACATTTTTATGTTTTAATTACAACCAGAGATTGTTGTGTACACTATTGTTGTTGGTATTGGTATTATTCTCGGGTACTAGGATCGGAGTGTGCGTTACGTGCAGGCCCCATTAGCCTGATGTCCTTGTGGCGGTACTGTTGAACTGACATCGTGCTGCCCAGCTTACCCCAGGCCAATACTCAATTTAAAGCAAGTAAGATGAATTTAGGATTATTGTTAAAATGTATGCAAACTTTTGTTTGTTGTACCAATAATGGGTATTGCTTTTACTGAAGAGGATCCCATTATTCATTTTTAAAAAAACACGAATTGAAATGTATTGAATAAAAAATAATAAACATTTGAGCTGTTTTAGTTTATTGAAGTATAGTTCATGATCTATTATCCGACTATAATTACTATCTTGAGTTTTATATATATACACACACACATATATATACACACAAACACACACACACACACACACAGACACACACACACATATATATGTATAAACACACCCACATATACATATCATTACCTCTTTTAATCGTTGAGGAACAAACTTTTTAACTTTCTTAACAATATCCATCTTTTTAAATGATGCTCGAAAATTTTCGGCTTCCTCATCTGATATTTTTAATTCTTGCTTTATAAGCTCGTTCATTTTATTTAGAGGGTCTTCAAATTCTAAAAAAATAAAAAAACATTAAAATAAAAAAAAACTTTGGACAGACCATGATATTATTTTTAACTTATTTTCAAGTTCATACTATCAAACTATAATACAACACAGACTGGTTAGTCAATGAATTCTTATTCTCCTCACTTACCTTTCACCCATTACTCTCTTTTCCATATCCATACCACTATTTTGTTTATATTGTTAAAGTTACTCATTGTATCTTATTCTCTTAATTTTGTAATTCTTTTCTATATATACAATGGGGGCTGGGGTAGCCGTGCGGGCTAAGGCGCTTACAATATGTAGCCAAGTTAAGCAACGCCGAGCGTAGTTAGCACTTGGATGGGTGACCGCCCAATTTGAGTGACCATCCACCAGGGAAAGCCATGCTGCCCGAACACCTCCTCCCCCCCCCCCCGTCTGTGAGCCCCATCAGGCTACTGTACTTAAATCAGAAATCGGGATGTGGTATAGAAGACCACATCTCGCAGTCAAAGATCTACAAGGTCTGTAGCGCCAACCAAAAAAAAAAATTATACAATATGTTTTGATAGATTTCACTATATCTTATTTTTTCTATTTACTTTTATTATTTTCTTTATATAACTTCATATTCCTTTTCTTAGTTTTTCATTTTTATTCTATGTGTATCTCACTTTCTCTTAACATATTAAGACAATATGTATCAAGATTTAAGATATTAAGTCAAGAAAAGGGAGGGAATTATTTATAAGTTCATTATAAGACAAAGGTGGTAGAAATTAAAGGCAATCGGGAATTTTATCTGAATTAAGAACTAGGAGGAGATCGTCCACATATTTTCAGATAAAGATGATATCATCTAGGAACAGAGGGATGATGAAGTCTAGTGGGGCATCAAGAACAACATTGGAGAGGTCAAGAGCGAGGGGGATGCCCGTGCCTAGTCCGGAAATTTGGTTAAAGAATTGTTCCTAGAGAGGTATCTGGTTTATGATTTTTTGGAAGTCCATAATCTCACTTCCTCTTAACATATCAAGACATCAACTTATAGCAACTATATCATCCTATTTATTTTATATTTACCACTTACGATTTGTATAATAATAAGCTTTATTGACATCAATTAATTTGACAAAAGCCTCTCCCTTAAGGAGGAATTTTAATGGAGTTGACTACAGTACAGAAAAATATCTTTAAATTATTACTTCTTTTTTTAAAATATTGAAAACAAAATAAAACAGATATGAATTTCTTTCATAAAATAACAATATAAGGCCTAAGATAAAAACAAGAGCTACATAGTAAACAGAACAGTCTTGAGAACACTTGGATGATAAAAAAAACAAAACAGAATATGATAAAATGAAACAAAGCAACTAAATATTATTTACAACTTGTTTCCTTCTGCTTCTATCTCTAGCCTCAAGCCACCAGTTATAGCCTACAAACCGTGCCATTTCATCCCTTTACCTAAGATGCGGCTAGCTCCTTTTCCTGCTGATCTCTCTTGGGATCCACTCAATGCATGCTTTGGACCATCTTTCAACCTCGCCATGCGCCCAGCCCAATCCCACTTGATGCGTCCAGCCCAATCCACTCCAACCATAAGCTTCAGCCATTAAGCTTTTAATATCCACTTTTCGAAGAATGTCTTCATTTCTTGTTTTTTCTCTCCTCTTGATTGACATTAAACTCCTTAAAAGCTTCATCTGCATAACATTCATCCTAAGTTCAAGTTTCCTTTTCAATGTCCAAGTTTCTGCCCCATAAAGAATCGTAGGATATACACAAGTAGTCGAAACTTTGGCTTTAAGATTTATCACTATACTGCTTTTAAAATTCGTTTTAAGGGACCAATATTTGTACCATCCAAGATTTATCCTTCTGTTGATCTCTTTATTCATTTTTTCATTGAATGCTATGGTTGGGCCAAATAAATGTATTCTTCTACCTGTTTATTGTCCACATAGATTGGAATATCAACAGAGTTGGTCATTATTTTAGTTTTTCCTGTGTTTATTTTCAGTCAATATTTTTTACTAATTCTCAAATCATTTCTCTAAGGCCATCCATATTCGGTGATATTAAACATATGTCATCAGCAAATCTTAGGTTGCTCAGTACTTTCCTATTGACTGATATTCGCTGGTTCTCCCAATTCAATTCTTTGAACAGTTTGTTTAGAACACAATTGAATAAAATTAGAGACAGAGGGCACCCTTGTTTGACTCCTCATTCGACTTCAAAGTAATCACCTTCCCTATCTAAAGCTATAAATGTCTTTCCATACCTATATAGTTCAATGATTACAATGAATCACAATCAATGATTACATCAAAGTAGAGTTTGTCAACACCACATTTGTTTAGAGCTTCCCAAATATATTTGTTTGATTGAATCAAATGTCTTGAAATAGTCAATACAACATAAGTAGACTTGCATGCCATATTCTCTACTTTTCTCAATATTCTGGTTAATACATTACAGTTGATCTATTGTACTGAATGTGGGTCAAAAGCCAGCTTGTTCTATATCATGGATCTGGTAAATAGTGGTTATAATTCTATTTTTTATTATATTGCAAAATAGTTTAGCTACAAACTTTGGGTTAACCATTAACTATTTATTGTAAATCACATACTATTAAAACAAAATAAAATTTTAGAAATAAAATTATAAATTTATATTACATTTTATTACATTGATTGCTAATGATGTCTCCAGTCGGAATAATTCTGAAACCCTATGATAATCTTGCTAGCATCCATTACAATGTAACAAGCATTACTACATTGTAGCTTATTAACTATTATAGCTTATTAGAACATACTACTAATAATAATTTTCAAAAAATGTTCATTCTGATTTGTAATAGAAAATTTTTACTATGCCAGCAGTACAAGGAAGTTGACTGAGTTAAATATATTATTTACCTTTCAATAAATAGTTGTAACACTCTTCACAAACACGAGCAGATTGAAATTTTAAATACAGAAGAGGAGCTTTATTGTTTGAGCAATCACCACAAACCACCTGTAAATAAAATTATTAGTTATTTTATAGAGAAAATAAACATGCAAATATATTTTTTCATTGAGAAAAAATGATTCAATATCCAAACAAATTTAAAAACTAGCTCAAAAATTAACTCCACAATTTCATAGGTTTTCCATAATTTCCTCAGACTTTTTGTTAAATATACATGTCATGAACTGGATTTAAAATAAATATCTAATCCATGTGAAATGAGAAAGCTTTAATAAGCAGTTGGTTTAAAGCACATACTCATGGCTATGTCAAACAAATAAATTTTGGGAGCATAGTTTTCGAAAAGAATACCAATTTTAAGATTACTCTCACGGGTATCAATTTATTATCGATTATTTTGAAATTTTTGGATTTCTTTGATATTGGGGTCTGTTATTATGTTATCGAGGGCATAGTTTTTTAAAACACTATCCAATTTGGATTACTCTCACGGATATTGATTTATTATTGATTATTTTCAACTTTCAGATTTCTTAGATATAGGGGTCTGTTATTATGTTATCGAGGGCATAGTTTTTTAAAACACTATTCAATTTGGATTACTCTCACAGATATCGATTATTTTTAACTTTTTGGATTTTTTCAATATAGAGATCTGTTATTATGTTATCAGGAACGTTTTTGAAGTTTTGGAAAAACTATCCAATTTGAGATTAATCTCTCTTTTATTGATTTATTATCAATTATTTACAGCTTTTTGAGATTTCTTTGATATATGGGTCTATTCTTAGGCTGAGACGTAGTTTTTGAAAACACTTAAGTTTAATGTTGTAAATAGTTACATGCTGCATTAAATGTTAGGATGTATCAATCAATAAATTAATTGATATTGAATAAATTCGAAAAGTTAAAAATAATCGATAATAAATCGATATCCGTGAGATTAATCTTAAAAGTGACAGGTTTTCCAATTCGACGCCTCTGATAACATAATAACAGACCCTTATATTGAAGAAATCTGAAAAGTTGGAACTAATCGATAATAAATCAATACACATCAAGAGTAATCCCAAATTCGATAGTGTTTTTAAAAACTACAAACCGATAACACAATAACAGACCCCTATATCCAAGAAATCCAAAAAGCTGAAAATAATCAATAATAAATCGATACCCATGGGAGTAATCCCAAATTCGATAGTGCTTTCAAAAACTATCTCCCTCTCCCTGAAAACATAACAACAGGTCCCTAAATGAAAGAAATCCGAAAAGTTGAAAATAATCGATAATAAATTGATACCCATGAGAGTAATCGCAAAATCAATATTTTTTGTAAAAACCAAGCCACCAATAATGTAATAGTAGCAAACATAATAATCCAAAAAGTTGAAATTAATCGATAGGCTTAGAGTTATCCAAAATGTGATAGTCTAGTCCTTGAATCAAAGAAAATTATTTGTAATCAAACTAAATAAATGTATTTGTTTTTCAAATAAATTTATTTGTTTGGCACAGCTCTGCACATACGTTATCTAAACCTAATATAAATAAAAATTAATATAATAGTAAGAATCTGGTGAGGTGCCTGTATCACACAACTTTCACTTACCACTCGCTTCTTAACTGAATATATGAAAATAAGTGTTTTCAGACAAAGGGGAAGTGAAAGTAAAAAAATTATAAACGCCATATTGATTTATATTTCATTGTAGATATTTATATTTGTTTAAGTATCCTTTTATATATATATATATTTTTTTTTTTTTTTTTTGGTTGGTGCTACAGATCATGCAGATCTTTGACCGCGAAATATGGTCTCCTAGACCACATCTCGATTCCTGATCTAAGTACACGGGAGTAGGGTCATCAGTCCTACGACCGGTCAGTGCAAATTGCCTCCAGTAGGCTGACGGGTGTCACATACCATGGGGGGGATCTCGGACAGCATGGCTTTCCCTGGTGGATGGTCACTCAAATTGGGCGGTCAACCACCCAAGTGCTAACTACGCTCGGCATTGCTCAACTTGGTTACCTATCGCAAGCGCTTTAGCCGGCTACCCCAGCCCCTTTTACATATATCTATAAATAAATAAATAAATAATAAATAAATAAATATATATATATATATATATATATATATATATATATATATATATATATATATATTGTAATGTTCCTCTTTCCCTCCAAAATCAAACGAGTTTCCTTTTTCAATATATTATTTATTTTAACACATATAACATAAATCTCAGGTTGGGTTCTGACAACTGAACACTCATTCAACATTAAATAACTATAATCTACACTAATTTACTAATTACTAACTACACTTATATATAATTTAAAATAGTTTTATAAAATAATTTGTCCCGGTCTCAACTTTTGGTTCTATCCCTCTGTCACATAAATGGCATTATTAGCACTCACCCAAATGTTTACGCCTACCAGTGAAATAATCTCTTCTTATTTACAAATGTTCTGTTTTCTGTACCACTTAATTAATTTCTGCTATGTTTTTCTTCCAACATAAAATAATCTCCACTAGTGGCCTCTATCAGCACTCGAACCGGCTAGTACTCCTTTTTCATTCACTTTCTCAGCTTGCTGGCTAGCACCTTCTCACTTGGCAGCTTGTCACATTCTCTCTTGGCCGCTATCACCTTCTCTCTTGGCGGCCCGTCACATTCTGAGTTACATGAGGCTTGCTTCCCCCACTTCCTCCCCGTAGTTCGTGCTGTTACCACTTATGCGCCACTATTCAAATGCCATGTAATGTTGACATTACAATATATATATATATATATATATATATGGTAAAAAGGACCACGGTAGACCAACTTTCCAGACTAATTCTCCCCACCAATGCCAGTACCACTCAGTACCCTTAAATATACAAATTCTAATATTTTTATAGCTGTAATCTATACAATTAAATATTAAATAATACCAACAAAAGCATTAAGGAAAACTGCATATGTATATTTACACAATATTGTCGGAGTCTGCATTATATTAAGCTCATGTTACTACAGAACTCTGGTCTAATCTTGGGGTGAGCTCTGGCCTTATCCCTTTACGACTTTTCATTTTTGAGCTACACCTGTCACATACATACACACAGACATGCACACACATAGAATATTTTGCGGACTTGGCTATTTGGACTCAGCAGACCTCAAAACATGTGCTTCTGTTGAAAAATCAGATTAGAAAATGTTCACGATTTCGTTTTTTTTTTTTTTTTTTTTTTTTTTTTTCGTTTTTTTTGCTCTGACATTGTTGTGCACTCAAAAAAGCCTATTGTGCGTCGTCCTAAACTCAGTTAAGGCAGTTTAACAGGCCAGATGCCTTCGCAAACCTATTGATACTGATGGAATCAATCAGTTCGCAGTGCTTGGGGTCAGTGATACGGTTAGATCCAAAGTGAAAGTATCGCAATCTAGCCATATTATCATATTTGCAGATAATGTGATAGGCCATTTCATCCTCCAGGCCACATAGCCTGCAGGTGGAGGTTTCACTTACACCCAAATTGAAAAGGTGTTTATTTAATTGACAGTGACCAGTATACAGTCCTGTCACCCACCTAATGGTATTCCTGTCCGTTAGAAGAAGTGAATTGCTTCTTTTATGCCAGGACCCTACAAGGAACAGTTTAGAGTGGATCTGTTTGCTAGTCTGTGCCCAGTGTAGCATACATTTATTGCCCACAATTGTATCAATATATCTAGGCTTATCCCACAAATAGGCTCTGCTAATATCGGCATCTGTACAGAGCCTTTCCTATACTATCCGTTACTACGTATTTCATAAATAGGTAAGTGAAAGTAAAAATTATCATACCTTACCACAGCACCTACAATGATGCCTTCTAAAGGTAACTGTAAACTCAGCAGTACAAATTTGACACATTGTTGTGCTCTTGTCCTGAATCCAGATTGGTGCCTAAAAAAGAACAAATATAAATATTAAATACTAATTATAGATAATAACAATTTTATTTTTTTTTAAATAATAATTTTGGCATTAGATTGTTGTGAGCTAAAGAAATTTGTTGAAAAAAATTTAAATCATATATGATATAACTGTTTACCTAGAAAATGGAGTTGGCTGGTTTTGGAATTCTACTCCTCGCATATTACTTCCAATTAATTAATTTTTTGTTTTCAGTTATCCTCTTGAAACCAAAATTATGAAATATATACATAAGTAAAAGGAAGTACTGCAGTTGTGAGCAATTTAAAATTCATGTTTTAACCGGAAACAAACCTTTTAAAATCCCATGAGCCCAAATAAATATGTCTCACAAAATGGTGTGTGTGTGTGGGTGTGTTTTGCATGCCTACATGCAGGTGTGCATGGCTGGGATATGACAGCAACTTTTTCATTGCTGTCAACTATGGAAATACCACTTTGTATCATCAATTTTAAACTTTTTTTTTACAATTTTGTCCATAACGGCTTTCATAATTCTGAATTCATTATATAAATATTCTACTCCTCGCATATTACTTTCAATTAATTATTTTTTTGTTTTCAGTTATCCCCTTATGAAATATATATGTAAGTAAAAGGAAGTACTGCAGTTGTGAACAATTTAAAATCCATGTTTTAAACGGAAACACACCTTTTAAAATCCCATGAGCCCAAATAACTATGTCTCACAAAATGGTGTGTGTGTGTGTTTTGTATGCCTACATGCAGGTGTGCATGGCTGGGATATGACAGCAACTTTTTCATTACTGTCAACTATGGAAATACCACTTTGTATCATCAATTTTAAACTTTTTTTTTTACAATTTTGTCCATAACAGCTTTCATAATTCTGAATTCATTATATAAATATACAATCAAATGGTCATTAAAATTATCTAGGTTTTAATCTTATTGAAATAGTTAGACTGGGCTCAAATGCCGAATTTTCAAAATGGCTTTATTTAAAGCACCTATTGTTTTGTTTAAATAATGGAACATCACTCATCATTAGTAGTAATAAAAAATAAATAAATATAAACTAAGAATGAATTTGATAATTAACAAAAGAAAAACAGAAAACATTGTCAGGTTGAAAAAAAGTCTGGAAATGAGTAGTAATAAAGATGTATCGCCTATATCAAGTAATTTATTATCACCATTAGAAAGCTAAAGATTTTACAAAAATTGATATCAAAGAAATACAGTTCTAGATTGTAATGGAGAAAATGAAAAATGCATAAACTTAACGGTTGCGACGGACTGGAAAACATAGGGTAATAACTTTACTTTGGTTTAATTATATTATACAGTTGTAAAAAAAATATATATATTAGAATCACAATTAAATTAATGTTTGAAAATATTTTCTCTAATATAGGATCAATGATAAACATTATAGCCTCAATATATTACCTGTCTTCCAAGCTTCAGAGAATCAAAATTTTCTGTACCCACATTACATGTTTTATTTAGAAATGAAAGCTGTCTTGAATTATTTTCTTTAATTGCTTTAGTCAAAGCATTCACCCATTCTTCACCTTCTATACTATTTCTAAAACACAACAAAGCAATAATTAAAAAGAACAATACATAATTATTTAAGAAATTTATTTTAATAACTTAAAATTAAAACCATGTCTCTCTGTATTAAATTAATAAGCACACTTACTGTTATTATTTATCACCAAATTAAACATTTTGTGCTACAATACAATAGTGCTACAATTGTCATTTATTCTGTTAAGAATCAATAGTTCAAATTCAGAGTTAATTTGAAGTATTATATCGAGGGTGTTAAGGTGAAACAATATAACTTTTAATTTAAAAAAAATTGTATTTGATGTTGGAGTTGACAATACTGTCTGAGAGTTGTAGTATTTTACTCATACAGAGAGAGATCTAACCTTACTGAGTTGAATGATGCAAAAATCCAATGTTTTAAAATTGAGGGTTACATCACTTTGCCTTAATTAACACCTTCCATATGTTTAAAAACATCAATATTGAAAATAATTTTAAGATTGTTGATCACAACATTAATAACAGCTATATTGAACTGTCACTAAGGCCATTAGGATTTAAAAACTTATTTCTAAAATGAGGTTATGGCAGAATAGAGATTAACAAGATTTTCAAAATGTAAAAACTACTTGGTACAAATATAAACTTATGAGAGTTCAGGAAGGATAAATAAGTAAGTAAGGGACTATGCTCCCAGTCCTTCATTCCAGTCTGGCTGTGGCAGATAATTATTTATTCAGTGACACCAGACGTGGATCAACCCAGCCTCTATAAAGAGAGTAATATTAATTATCTAATTAATTAAGGGGGAAAACCTGGCAGGAAAGTATGATTTTTGTCAAATCACCTCCTTATACAACCATTGACTAAGAAATAATAGTACTCTCTTACAAAGTACTAGATCCAAGACCATTAATGGGAGATTGTAGTTGTTAAATGTGTTTTTTTCTAAAATGAAGTTATGCCACAATATTTTCAATTTTTTGAGCTTGGAGAGATACAAACAACCACTATCGATAATTAATGTTGCCTTGAAGTGATATTAGAGGATTATGACTTTAATAGAACATCTTTTCATCAATATACAGAATTTTAAACTGATATTACTTGTTTAACATATAATAGTAAAAATGCAGAATTTTTTAATTTGAAAAATTGTTTTGTAAGTTACAATTTGAAAAAACAATGATTTTTATCTGCTTAAAAGTATGTTTATCTACATGAGGCTATTTTTTAATCAAAATTACATTAGGTGATGTGATTCAGAAAAATTACTTATTCTGAGAAAGAGCAAAAACTTATTACATAATTATCTAATCCCTTTCTTAGTATGAAATTTATTCAATTTTACAAGCTTAATTTAGTATCATAACTAAAATAAGTAGTTATAAGATGGATAATTAAACATAGATATGCCATGTAAATAAAGCACAAGCATACTTTGCTCTAAGTGTGAAACTTCTTGTGTTTGTGATGATACTGAATTCCTTGAAAACTCCTTGAGTATCATTGTGAGTTTGAACTTTCATGCCAGATAAAGGAAGCTCATATTTGAGTTTGAGTCCAGTAACTGAAGTAGTATAAATTGTATACAGCAAACAATCACTTAACTGAAACAAATACTAAAATATAGCAAATATTGACTAATGATATTTAAAAATAAAGTGAAAAGAATGTGGTAACTAGATAGATAGATAGATAGTTTATTTTATTTGTCTAAGAAAATTCCTGTACAAATAAATATAATGGTATGATTAAGAATGTTAGATCTTGAGTCTAGTACTGCATTCAAACATAACATTAACAATGCCCACAGCATTAAGTATGACTAATATAATAACATATTAGTAAACGATATATATATATATATATATATATATATATATATATATATATATATATATATATATATATATATATACATAACAATTAGTAAAACATTGTTTTTTTTTTGTTTTTTTTTTTTTTAATATTCGAGAGGTATAAGACAAACGACAATATAAATAAGCATTAATATATGTTATATGATTAACTATACCACTTAACAGTTCAATGAACAGCCCTGTATGAAATAATACAGTTGGTTTATTTTTTTCGTATTGTCTATTTTCAGTATCTCCTCCACACTAGCATCTTCTCTGGATTCAGTGATAAATGCCTTCAAGTACTTATTTCTTGGCTCGTTGAACTTGATACATTGGATCAGAAAATGAGTTACCGAGTCAGTTACAAGGCAGTTGCATGCACCACATACCTCACTGGATTTAATAGTCAAAGTAGCATCTTTTAAGTATATTTTCATAAAATCTTTACTTGCTACTCTGAGACGACTAACGGCTCTTAATTTGCAGCATGTGGTAACTACAAACTACCAACTTCCCATATCCTAAATAACATAGTGATCCACAGTGTCTGTTCCTATTGTTGGATTTACATCCAAAATTTTATTGTACAGTATTTTAAATTATCATTGTATAAACAACACGGGGGGACCCCCGGTCTCAACTTGCACTACCCCCCTCTCTAAGACGGCCTTATCTGCGGCCAAAGGACAGATGCTAGCGAGCGAAGAAGGCAAAAGGGACTGCTGACGACCACCTCCTGACCAGACCTCGAGAACTACAGCCCTTCGGCTAAATTCTGGACCCGCAACGGCGGAGAGAGAGAGAGAGAAGGCGCGAGACCGGCCCCCTCATCAAACTGTACGTAAACCTTTATACATATATTCACAAGTATTCCCCTCTAGAACATTTATTTATTTTTGTATCTCTCAAGAAAAGGGCTCCCGGTCATATGGCATGTACCGGGCCCCCCAATATTGAACATATGGTGCCCCGGGTGAGGAGGAATACTTGTGAATGAAAGTATTGTAAACATCCGCCCATGATCTAAATATTTTAATTGTTTAATGGTTCAGTTTAACTCTAGGTTCATCTTGGTCATTTATTTTTTATTTGCGTTAAATTAATTAAATTTTTCAATATTAGCAGCGTTTACTAACGAAAATGTTGTATTTAATTAACGTAATATTAAACGGCTTAGACAGCCAGTAGGTGACTCTTAATACCATTTCAAGTAACAGTCACCGCCGCCTAATTCCATTGAGAACAACATTTATGCTTACTTCCGCCGCTACTTCTAACTTATCTTTCGTACGTATTTCAATTTCTTCAGCATCCAAATAATTCGGATCTCGCTGTATACTCTATGAATTATTGCATTGTTTCAGCTTTCAGCTTAGATGCATTTTGCGCGATTTATGATTGTCAGTTCATAAAACTATAATATACAAGCAGAATATTGAAACATATAACTGTTCTTAGTAATATTCTTGCATAATTAAGAAAATTGTTGCATTTTATTTTAGGAACAATTTTATTCAGAATTTACTTATATATACTTCAACTGTTTGAATATTTGTTCATGTATTTATTGATTGTTAAGTGTGCGCACGTTTTCATATTTTATTTCATATTGTTGATTTTATATATAGATTTATTACCTCATTTTCATGCATGTTTTTATATTTATTAAATATTGTTGAATTTTTTATATATTTATTAGCTTTTCACGTATGTTTAATTTCTTTTTATTAAGGTATTTATATGTCATTATTGTATACGCATAATTGTTCTTTTTGTGATTGTTTTCATTTCATTGGTTTTTATTTTATGCATAGCTATCTATATAATTACTTACATTTCATCCTTCATATATATATACAAATATTTATTTAATTTTTGATCTCATTGGTTTATATGCATAAATATTTATTAAATTATTTATCTAGCATCAATTTAAGCGCATGAGTATTTATTTAATTATTTGAATTTCATTATTTTATATGCATGGATATTTATTTTAACGGATTATATTTAATTATCCGATAATTTATAGCATCTTAAATTTTTATCTAAAGCTTGAGTTTTTTTTTGTTCTGAAATCTTTTCGTAGAAATTTGAATCAGGCAAGTTTCGAAGTTTTAGTTTTGGATCTCTCACAATTTTACGACTTCGTTAAATAAACTTAGTGATTGTCTCCTCAAATTATAAATTCATTCGGAACCATGGGTGGCGGTAACGAACAGTTGAACGACTTACCTGGCCACGGTGACGGACTCGAGCGTAAGCTTCGCCATCTCAAGCGCGGTCTCAACAAATTATTTGTCCAGGCCGCGGATTTGAGCAGTGGGGACTTCTTCGAGTACGAAGTAATTTACGAGGAATCAAGGTTAATGTGGGAGAAATTTGAGAATATATGGGAGGAATTAGATGCCCTCTACACGTCCCAAGGTGCTTCAGCCTATCCGCCCGACTGGGAAACAGGCTACGACGCCATTCAGGGGGGAGTACGGAAAATAGAGGCGGGATATCGGAGGTTAAGCTCGCATCGCGCCGCGGTTGATAATAACGCCAAGTCTGGCTCAACCCCTTCGCTTTATCCGCCTCAACTTCCGGTCATAGACGTGCCCGTTTTCAACGGTGATTTGTCGAATTGGACGAGCTTTCGCGACACCTACGTGTCCCTGATCCACGACAACACCCACTTAACGCCGATAAGTAAAATGCATTACTTGAAAAATGCGCTTATCGGCGAACCGGCGTCGCTTCTCTCGGCGTTTTCATTCGATTCCGGCTCATACCAGCTGGCCTGGGACGCTCTCATGCGAGAGTATGATAACCCACGAGTTCTCGCGTCACGTTGCCTCCAGAGGGTTTTAAATCATAGGGCCCCTACTTCTGGCAGCGAGTATTCCAAGCATGCCGCTTACCTCGCGACTGTGGGCGAAAGTATAGCGAGCTTCCGCGCGTTGGCTCTGGAAAACGAAGGAGAAGTCATTATGTCCACCTTAGCTCTCCGCGCGTTGGACCCAGCCACCAGACGTCAATTTGAGCTCTCTCACGCGAACGGCGAGTTCCCTACCGCGGACGAAGTCATCGCTTTTGTGAGGCATCGCATGATGTCCTCAAAGATGGCCCGCGAATTTGAAGCGGTACCTTCCGACGCACCGCGCGTCCAGGAAGCGAACAGGAGAAGAACAGGAGTAACTTTGCTTACCGGCAAGGCGGATGTTCGTCCCACCACGTTTAAATACGCGACCTCGCCTAAACAGACGTCTTTGGACAGGAGTCTGAAGAGTGGATCCCGACGCCGACGGTCACTGGAGGAGATTCCGCGGAGTAAATCCATCTCGCCCAATAGGGATCCGTGTCCTCACTGCAAGGGGAAGCATCATCTGGCGCGGTGTTTCAGATTTCTTGCGCTGTCAATCGAGGAACGCTACAAATTCGTACAATCGTATAGTCTCTGTTATAACTGTCTCAGATCCGGCCATCGAGGTTCGGAATGCTTTTCCGCATTTACGTGCACTTTTTGTCAAGAAAAGCACCATAGCTTGTTGCATGAAAAAAATCGTTCCGACCTGAACACTAAGGAAACTTCCGTGGGGGCGGGCGATTTCGTCGGTCACGCTCGCGGCGCCTCTGTTTCGTCCGACTTCTCTTCTGAGGCACTAATAGGCACGGCACAAGCGGTGCTGTCCGGGTCGAAGCGTGATGCCTCGGCGCGTCTTTTGCTGGACTCCGGAAGCCAGTATACGTTCATCACCGCCCAGCTAGCGGCTCGCATTGGCAGCCCGATGCATCCTTTCGACGGCAAGATTTTGGGTTTGGGTGACAGTCCTGTCGGGAAAATTATAGGTTATATGACGTGCAGGCTCGGCGCGATCTTCGATGACCGTACGAATTTCAAGGTGCGCGCTTTGGTGGTGGACCGGATTACTTCCGATATACCAAAGCGCCCCTTACCCACTGGGTTGGTTCGTGAACTGTCAACCCATGTTTTGGCAGACCCGTCCTTCGGAGTCCCGGGTCCTATCGACATGTTGGTAGGTGCCGATCTATATCCTCGCCTTCTCACTGGTGCTCCCACCAAGGCCTCAGTGGATAATGATCTCTATCTGCTACCAACTCTCCTCGGGAACGTCGTCATGGGGAATATCTCGACTAAAGCTTCATTACGGGTCGTATCCCTGTTAACCTACTCTGAATCGCCAGTATCGGTACGGGTTGGAACATTTCGGAAGCCGGAGAAACTTGGTCCTGCTAGCCGTAGCTTCGTCGCGAGCTCCCATACCGATCAAATATATCGCCCTCGTACACGGCGTTTCAACCATAACAGAGGAAGGATGCGCGTGTCTGTTAGAGATAACGACGTTTCTGTATCCTGCCACTAATTTCGGTCCGTGAGGGTTATCCACGCGGACCGCCGTAAAGTTTCTCGCTCACGCGATGGCGGACGGGTCTGGATATCAACCCGTAGTAGGCCCGCCGTAAGGTTTCTCGTTCACGCGATGGCGGACGGGCCAGGATATAGTTCCGTAGTAAGTCTCGTAATAAGGTCTTGTTTCGCCCTTTCAATAATCGCTCCTGGTTTTTTTTGGTCACTCAAAAGCCGTTTTTAGCCGGAACCCACGACTTAAACACAAACGTGACGCTTTCACGCCGGAGCGTCAACAACTACTCACAACATCCTTCGCGAACTCCCTTCTGAATGTACACATCGCCCTGGCGCAGGGAGTGTGAGTCGTAAGGGAGTAACCACTCGCGTTAAGTAGGCTTAACGACATCATCATGTCTGCCACTTAGCAGGAGGCGACCTATGCACATTCGGCAACATCATATTCGGTATTAGCGCGATCGGACGAATCTAGGGGGTTTTCGTGCCCATTTTCGAGAATTTTTCAATTCAATTCGGTCTCATTCGCCGCTTACCAAAACTCTCCTGCCGGAGAATTGATGCTTGCCAAAGGTCCATCCGTGCGTTTGGTTTACTTCGCGATCGTCGTTTTCGTTTCGTTTATACGTTTAATCATTTTGCCGTTTCCGATCTCACAATTCGCGGATTTTCGATCCCGTGTGGTCTGGTCCATCGGTCACCATAACTCTCCTCCCGGAGAATTGGTTCATGCCAAATTTTATTCACATCGTGTGGATTATTTTTTGGGACTACGTATCGGTGGAATTGCGAGGTACACATTTCCCCTCGCAATTGCGGCTGTACTTTTTCAAAATGTTCCTGGGCTTATCTTGGTGGGCGGCAGGGTTTTCGCGGCGGCGAGTTTGTGAGACGATTCATACCTTTACTAGAATTGGCCATTGTTCAATATAATAACCATTGCCAATTTATTGATGTATATATTCATTATTTATTCTATAGTATTTATTTATTTATTTATTCATGTAAATATTATTTATTTTACTTTGTAAATTTGGATGCTGGAGGCAATTTCGCGTTCTTGTTTACTGCCTCTCCCCACTTCGCTCTTGAATTTGTTATCTTTGCTTATCATTGTTAAATCTGGCTGAGCCAAATTTAGGTGGGCGGTATGTTGGATTTACATCCAAAATTTTATTGTACAGTATTTTAAATTATCATTGTATAAACAACACGGGGGGACCCCCGGTCTCAACTTGCACTACCCCCTCTCTAAGACGGCCTTATCTGCGGCCAAAGGACAGATGCTAGCGAGCGAAGAAGGCAAAAGGGACTGCTGACGACCACCTCCTGACCAGACCTCGAGAACTACAGCCCTTCGGCTAAATTCTGGACCCGCAACGGCGGAGAGAGAGAGAGAGAAGGCGCGAGACCGGCCCCCTCATCAAACTGTACGTAAACCTTTATACATATATTCACAAGTATTCCCCTCTAGAACATTTATTTATTTTTGTATCTCTCAAGAAAAGGGCTCCCGGTCATATGGCATGTACCGGGCCCCCCAATATTGAACACCTATATAAGCCCAAATCGAACAATTTTTAAAATTGTGGTAATTTAAATGGTATAGAAGAACTTAAAGATAAAATTTATAATTCTATTTAACAACAATCCTCATAACTAAATAAAATATTTTTTATCAGTTGGAAGTATGTAAATGTATTCTTTACAATGAATAGCTATTTTAATGATTAATAAGCCAATAAACAAAATATTTTTTACTCTCATTGTATGAAGTAATACTTTTTATAAAAATAGTTTCAATGCAAGCAAAAGTTGATATTATATGTATTATATAGTATATGTTAATAGCATGTAGATGATTAATATACATATATATATATATATATATATATATATATATATATATATATATATGTAATATTTTTAAACTTTATAACAAAAACAACATGTATTTTAACATTGAAGCTGTTAAATGGTGAACATAAATAAAGTTAGTACCCAGTAATAAAAAAATTCTCATGATGGTATGATTATTCCAGGCATTAAAATTTAGTTGGCATCGCAAGAAAAATCGTTATTGAGTAAATGAAATATTTATCATATAAAATAGTATCAAAATAGCCAAGGAAGAATAATTTTCAGAAGCATTTAAAGCTATAAGGTCAATAAAGTACACACCTGCTAATAATGTAACAAGTAAGGTTGTTAAAATAATGCTTAAAACGACTATTCTATTCTTTTTGAACTATTATTCATCTGTTCCAATAGTCAAATTGAAGATTTATCATAAGGTAGACATGAAAACTCAGCGGGGATCACATTACCTACAATATATAACATGCTTAACTAACCACAAACTAATTTCCAATATTTAACAATAGTAGACTACCAAGGTTAAATTATTATTATGATATGACTTATTCCTTGAAACAAAAAGTTGGCCCATACAAAACATAAGCACGCACAAGTTGTTATGATTTTTGATATACAATGATTAATGCAACTATCAATAACAGCATATAACTGGTGTTTGAAATAACAACAGTTAATTACCTAGTTACCAGAATTCAACATAAGATAGAAGAAATTTAGAAAGCATATAATAAATGATTAACATTATTATTGATTAAATAAAATCCAACAGTACTGAAATAAGAATTTATTCAAAAGCAATTCACTAAAAATGTTAATGAGATCTTCATTACTCTTCAGAAAAAAAAAAAAAAAAAACTATGACAGAAAATTAAATATAATAAAGAAATATAAATTAGTTCCCACAACAGACATATATACAAACAGTTAATAATAAAAACTACTAACGTAGATCAGAATAACCATAGGTTGCAGAACTATGGAGGTGAATAACATTAATCTGTGATAATTAAGAAACCTACTTCAGTTAATAAGAATATTAAGCTTCATAAGTAGAAATTATTACAATAATGTGATGCAGTACAATTTGTGAAATTGAAACAAAAGTATTTTCCACAGAAAAACAATACAAATATTATTTTAAACTCACCAGAATAATAAAACGCCCTTGTGTTTCTTTCCTGCTCAGTTTTTTTAGTTCTCCTTCTTTTATAAAAAGTCTTCCTGGTTTAATTATTTCATAATTCCCAAGAGCTGTCTGAATTTGGTACAATTTGTAAAAATTTTCCTAAATAAAAGTTAAATAAAAATTAATAAACATAGGATAATATAAAAATGACAAAATGAATATTCTGGAACTTTCAAAGTAGCAAATCAAATTTTGAAGCATTTGTTCTAAAGTGCTAAGAATCATAGTCCATTAAAAATAAGATTCGAAAAAAGATGTTGACATTAGGTTTCCAATACTGGAGATTCAATAGTTTATAAGGGCTTTATAAACTCTTTGGTTGTACATAAAAAAAGTAAGTCTTTTCTGTAGTAGACTTTATTGGAATTGTAATATAATTAACAAATGAAAATATAAAACAAAAAACCAAATTGTAAATGGTACTTACAGAGGTAGTAGTGATAAATGAAGGCTTAAAATTATTTCATAAATTATTTTTAAAAAACAGTACAACCTTGCCAGGTTTCTTATTTATAATAAAAGAATTATCAAAATGAGACTTCCCATATAAGAGATTCACCCTATAATGAATGAACCCAGGACTCTCAAGCCAGGAGTTTATAATTCATTTTCTAGTTTAGAGGATATTCACTTTACTATTCAAATAGGAATGTGGGTGAGCTAGCTATTACAGAACCATCAAATCAGCAGTGAAGATAGAGAGTTTATTCAAGGTTAACTTCCTACTAATACCAATTAAAGGGAATAAATATCACTGGTGTATGATATTCAAAGATAGTCAAGTATACCCAACTATCACCCTTTTTATGTTAACTATCTTTTCTACTCTAAGTTCTGTGATAACTCCTAGCTGTTTGACCTTAATATACACTTCCATAGATCTGGATCAATTTAACACTTCTTGAAGATGAAAGAACATACAGCTGAAATTTTGATGATGCCAAGAATGTCTCTAAAAAAGCTGTTTTTTGCATATATCTCGGAACGAAATGGAAAATTTTGTTCGGGAACATCAAAATCAGATTTAGCATCCAAAAAGAAACAATCTTGTAAGATTACTCCACATTTTTGTAATATTATTTTGAGCTTGTTACACAGCACATTTGATTGACAGGTGTTTTACATACTTTATGTGCACATGTAGACGTACCACTTCATAACAGTAGCCACCTAATAAAAACCATTAAATGTCACATAGAAAAAATAATTTGAAGGAAGATCATATAAAAAGCCTTATCACGCATTAAGATGATAGCAATTGATCTAGGACCAGGATTTATCAGAGAATATATTCCTATAATTTCATTTGCCTTTTATTGCCTATTGGGTAGTTATTGTCATATCTGTGAAAACTTTCGAATAAAATTTCAAACATAAATTATGCTATATGAAGCACTTATATTCATATAGTAAGAATTAGAGTTTGCAGCCCTTGTTAACGTGATATTGTAGAGCGTTATGTTTTTGGTGTGAAAAAGAAACTCTTGAATTGGCTCGAACTGAGAGTGAAAGTGTTGAAAACATATAGAAACTTACGAATAACAAACTTGCACTTTGGTGAGATAACAATATCTATTAAACATGTTCTGATCTTCACCATGTTGGACAGGAAGGTAGTCCAAGCTGTAACAGAGACTACATCATCAAGTAATTGCTTCGTTTCTAAAGCTCACCCGTCAGAAATGAATGATTTAACAAAAATTCAGTACAAGCAATCAAATGAAGAAGCTCTTCAACTAGGTTTATCGCCTCTATGCACATATCAAATTCATGGAATACATCCTTCATTTCGCCTACAATTTTAATTTTTTTTAAATTAGAATATCAAATACAACTATTTCAATTAAAAAAGGGTATATAGGTGCAGCCATTTAAAACCTGTCTCAATGTAGAGCATATAAGCGATAGTATGTTCAAAAAATATGTCTCCAATAATGTAGTAGTAGACAATAATATCGAATAAATCCGATAAGACACAATAAATCGATATGGGGCCGTGCCTAATCGTAGAATGGATAAAATTTTCAAAATATATGACTTAGATATCGTAATAGTAGACGCTTATATCGAATAAACCAGAAAAGTTATTATAAACTGATTTTCATCCGTGCAATCTAAAAATCGATATCAGTTTAAAAAGCTTCGCATACGATAACATAATACTATACTATTATAATGAATACATCCAAAAAGATATAATAATTCAATATCCGGTCACATAATCCTAAAATAGATAGTAAATTTAAAACCTACGCCTTAAATGATGTTATGTTAGATGATGGGCGTTGATGCCTTCGGTATTTTACACCTCTAAGCCCTAAATAACAACATTACGATAGACTCATTTATCAAATAAATTCTAAAAAAAAGGTATAATAAATCCATATTCGACCAAGTAATAATAAAATCGATAGTACATATTTTTAAAAACATCATACCAGACCCTTATATCGAATAAATTAGAAAAGGTACAATAAAGTGATATCTGATTGTGTAATCCAGAAATCGATATTATTACAGTCATAATATGATGTGCTTACGAGAACAACGCATCATAACAGACTCTTAAATTGGGGGGGGAAAAAAAAGAAAGTTTAATTTGAAATGGAAAAGGTAGAATTTGACTTAGAAAAAGTTGAAGTGAACTTGAAAAAAGTTGAATAAGAAGATACACCATTTATGAAAGCCTGAAAAATGCTCTAGTGAAAATAGTTTGCTGTTTTCCACAAAAATTATTGCGTATTGCAATATATATCTGACCCTATAGGCTACAAGTGAACAGGCAGAGATGACCATTTTGAATAATTTAATTTTCATCAAAAAAGTACTAAGAAAAGTGTTTATATAATAGATTTTGAAGTAAAAATTAAATCTGTGTTTGATTTTCTAATTTTTTTCAGTATCAGAACTACGTACAATAATATGTAGTAAGCATTTTGATTATTAAAAAAAAAAAATGGTTGCTTCCTCACCATAAGTACAAGTATAATATATAATATAAGGACAAGTTTCACTAGATTCTCAAGTAATTATTTCTCCTATAAGTAATTGAAACCTGTTAGTCACTATTGGCAAAAAACACTCACCGGGCAACAGACAGGTTACCATACACTGTTGATATAAATTAGGAATCATAATAAAGGTTTTCAGGATGTTGAGGTAGCCACCAGTAGGTTCAGTATATGGCTGGTCAACCCCAGAGAAAAAAAATGTAAGTGTTCGAGTGAGTGCCAATCTTGATGAACCATACAGATAAAACCAATTTGTTATTGCTTTAGAACTTGAATTTATGAATGTACATCAATGAAAAGGTAACCCCTAGATCTACTTCAAAGTTAAAAGCTTTAATATAATTTATAACATAACTTAATTTTCACAATAATAAATCAAAAAATTAAAAATATGCATAAAAATGATCATGGTGCTTTCAAAATAGAGAAATTATTAACTCACCACTAATTTTAAACTGCAATTAGCATGATGAAGAACATCTCTAATGATATTTAAAGCAGTTTCTGTATCTCTATATTCGGAGCTTTCTTTATCAAGGTGTTTTAAATAGTCTTCTAATAACAGACGATAATGAGGAATCCTTTGAATTGGTTTTAACATATAATGCTTTAAAGTTAATTTTTTACAAATAGGAGATTTTTCATATTCTTTCAAAGCATTAGCAAATTTAGGGTACTTGAGGCAGCATTCATCCATATAATTACACTGATTTTCAAAATCCTTCATATAAGTGGTATAAAGTTTCAAAAAGGGCCCTTTACGAACTATAACCTCAGCTAAACCTTTTCCTTCATTCCATTTGTCTAACCTAACCACCAAATCATTTAATAAATCTTCATTTAAATGAAGAAGTTGAGGAAGGGTCGTAAATATTTTTTCTAGCTCATTATTTGGAATTATCACAGAATTGCTTTTCACATTACATTCATTTATATAATTTTTGAAATCAAAAACTATTAATTTTAAGGCATCTATGTATACTTGCTCAGATGTCATAAATTCATTAGCTATTAAATAGGCCTTATTATCACTGGTAACATTTTCAATTTTACTATCGTTTGCTATTTCAATAAAGGAGAGTGAACTATCCGCTTCCGAAGTATCTTCTTTAGAACTATCTACAGTTGAATTTTTAAATAAACCATTTTTACATTCTTCACTAATTTTTGTGATTGGAGGGATGAACTTAGGCTTTGGGAGTAAAGGTGGCTTTGGAGATAGTCCTGAAATACAAAATAAATATATCATTATCATAAAAGGGTGTCACTTAAAATTTATAAGTAAATTAATACTACATCTAAAAGTAAATTGGAAAATTTTGAGTCATCGTTAACCAATCATAACACATTATATATAAGTTAGCTGTGTATAAGCCGTAAACATCAATAGGAACTATGTTACTATTAGGATTAAGAAACCATTGTATATGAAAACAAACTGTCTCTATATATACTGGATGAATTAAATAATAAAGTTAGTTGTTCTTGAACCTGTGTACTGTTACTCTGCCCAAAACCCTCCTTTTTTTTTAGTTCAGTAATTCAGTATACTCATAAGTTATATATACATATATATATATATATATATATATATATATATATATATATATATATATATATATATATTGTTTTTCTGTTGGCATTACAGACCATATAGATCTTTTAACCCCTTAATAAGCCTACTACATCTCTGCCTGTCTTGGGCAATTTCTTTCCAGTTATCTGCACACAGCTCTATAGCATCTTTGTTGATTCTATCAATCCACCTGTTTTTTGGCATTCCATATGGTCTTTTACCTTCTATTGAGGCATTTATTGTTACATAGAGGCTTTCAGATGTATTACTACGAGCTACATGCCCCGCCCATCTTAACATCCGTGCCTTCATATCATGTGATATTGATTGACCAGTTTTTGTAAGCAGTTCTTTATTGGTCTTTCTTCTCCATATATTAGTAGTGTGATCCCAGATCACTTCAGTTATCCCTAGCCACCCCCCTTTTTTTTCTTCTTCTCTACCTGGCCTATTATGCTATTGTGGGTTTTCCCGGGCTGAGGAGTGAGGGCAGGGAATTTAAAATCCCCTCTAGCACCTCGTACTTTTTAATCTCTCATAACTTTGGTTATCTGGTTGCCGGGCCATTCACGGTACAGTGCACACATGTTAGCCCATTCAGTCACCCCACACCACTTCCCAAGTCCTCTTCAATTTCCTGTGATGTTGTTCTTATCACCACTTTTTTGACGAAGATCTGGTCTAGCGTGCTCCTTCCTTTTCTGAACATACCTTGGTGGTCACCTATTGTATTTTCGTAAGACGGATACATCCGGTTAGGTAGGATATTTGTCATTATCTTGTGGACAACAGAAAGGAGTGCTATGCCTCTGTATTAACTACACTCATACATGGAGCCTTTCTTTAGGATAGGACAGATTAGGCTCGTATTCCAAGCCTCAGGAATCCCTTTCTCTTCCAATATTTTCTGGGTTAGTTGTAGTAGCTTGGTTCTTTAATCATCTCCCGCCATCTTTCAGACAAACAGTTCTGATGGTAGGTTGTCTATCTTTGGGGCCTTTCGATGGCTATTTCTACCTCCAGTATATCTAGTTTTTCAACCTCTTCTGGGTCAAGGTCCTCAGCATGATCCATGTCTTCTGCATTCATGGTGATCTTTTGATAGAGAAGTTTCTGGAAATGTTCTTTCCCGTGTTCAGTATCTTTTCTTTAGATGCCGTCAGAATGCCATCTTTTCCTCAAATTTGCGTATTTCTCACTTTATATCCTAACCTTTCTTTCCTAATGTTTGGGTAGAATTTGCGTATATCTCTAGCCTTCCAGTTGTCCTCAATGGGTTGCAAACTCTCTTTGAGGAATTCTCTTTTGGCCAATCTTATAATTTTGTTTGCCTTTTTCTTGTCAGCTGTGTAATTCTCCTGAGCAACTCGATCAGTTGTAGCTAGGCAGAGGACTTTCATTTTTCTTCTTTCCTCTTACTGCCTTTTCACATTCTTCTATGAACCACATCTTAGCTTTTCATTTCTCCTGAATACCTATCACTTCCTTAGCTGTTTCTTTTAGTCCTTTCTCGTATTTGCTCCCAGTGTTGGTCCACCGTGAGGCTATCCAAATCCAAGGATTCAAATTTATTTTACATTCTATATATTATAAGTTAAAAAAAATCACACATAAAATTTTGAAATAATGATATAATGATGTTATTTACCTCCATATAAATATAAACAACTAAATTACCAAAACTCAAATAGCTTTACAAACCTTTTTTCTCTTTTTGATGATCACCCATCCTCATTGTCAAAAATAATGATATCTACTACTGCTATCCATACTGATCTGTAAACAAAATGGATATGAGATATAACATATTCACAAAATTTTTTTGATTGTTAGAAAGAAAGAAATGAAAATATGTAGGTAGTAATTGTTAATAGAGGGATGAGTTATGAAAGAATGGCCTTTTCTTTTCTTGTTTATTTGCAAATCATTTTATTTCAGTACTATTCTTTCCGTAATAGTTAAAGTTACCTGCTGTTGGATTTTTTTATTGAATTGGATTCATTGGATTTAAAAGCTAGCTGTTGGATTTTTTCATAATACCACTCTGTGTTTTGAACAGAAGAATTTGCAAATCAATTTCTGACCTTGAAAGGAGAATAGGGTTTTACTTGAATAATGTGAGCCACTGACTAGAACAGGTGGTACTCAGAAGATAAGTCTTATATTTTGAAAATTTTTGTTTCACATAATAAGAAGGGTGTTTTTGAGAGTCATCTAGTTTAAAGGAAACTCAACTTATGTTTTCTAATCTTGAGGAACATTGGGCCACATTATGGAACACTGATCACCATTAAGTCCTGAAACAATGATTCAACTCTCTGGAATGAATTTATAATGAGCTATGCTATAGTGAATCTAAAATACACATCGCCTTAGTTTCGAACTTTATATATTTAAACAGCAGGCTGATCATAGTCTAACCATTACTTGTTCTTAGTATTTTTTGAATATTTCGAATTCTCACTGCAATTAACAATACTTTTAATGAAATGTGTCATCCAAATTTTTTTTAAGTTTTTGACAAAGTTCTACTCAATATTATGGCTACTTGCCGGTCAACTTATGAGGAACCATTCTTAATGAGTATTTTACTATTCCCAAGTTCTACAGTTTACAATTTAAAGTTGATTGGGAAACACCAAGCTCTCTTGCCAATTCGCATGTGCTTTTTATTGGGTTTGTCTCAATAGAGTCCTGGAGAGCTATACCATCATAGGATGATTATTTATTCAGGGTCCTCTTTTCTCTCAACACTGATGGCTTCAATTTTATATTTCTGGAACCATCTACTGAAAGTTCTACTTCAGAGAGAGCATTATCATCTTTGAATTCCTGCACCAAATGGGTTATTTTGGGAGCATCTAAATTTCCTTTACATTAATAGTATAATTTAACAAAGTTCAAATTGCTGTTGAACCGAATACTATGACAAAACTGAATTTTCTTTAGAAAGTCATTTAGTATAGTCCAGGGATTAAACTGATATCTACCTTAATTGAATTTGAAAAAAAAAATTAAGTCAGTCAGTGAATTATAATTTCCAAGAAAACAAAATTGGTCAATTTTTATAGCTCTGTCCATTATGAACATGTGATAAAGTATTATTTATCCATCTGAAATGCCTTTGATATTCCTCTTACATAGCTCTTATTCCATATTCCATCTCCTACCTCAACATACGCGTAGACTCCTAGTTTCCTCTCTCATTTTTCCCCACTTTGACTATAGCTGTGTGGTGTATGATGGCCTCTCTGTGGAGCTCCGTGATAGACTGAAAAGACTAATGAAAAGCTACGTAAGATTTGTGATCGGGGCCCCAAGATACTCCCATGTTTCTCACCACTACGCTGAGTTAAAGTGGCTTTTCCCCTCCTTCTGAAGACAATATTTCCTAGGTACGTTCCTCTACCAAATCATCAACCATCGTCCTTCTTACGCCTACAACCTTCTCCAGTTCAAATCCTCAGTCCATTCCCTGTCCACAAGATCTCGACCTTCTAACCTTTACATGCCTTCTCACAGATCTGCCTCATTCCAAAATTCATTTATTGTTGGCTCTGTCAATTTCTGGAATTCCCACCCTATCAAAATTCGACATTCCCCATCCATATCCACATTCAAAACCCTCCTATTCCAATTCCTATCCCAAAAACAGTCAGATAGTTGCTAACCATTCGAGCTGATTTCAATAGAGAATTTGATACATTTTTATTTTTTAATTCTTTATTATTTGCTTAAAAGTGTATACTGATCTATCAGTGCAAATAGATTTAAGTGTCTTGTCATAGTATTAATTGTTTTGTATATAGTTTCGTTTGTTTTGTATATAGAATTTTTACCTTATATTTTTTTATTATTTTTATTTATTTTTTTTTTTTTATTGATTTTATTATGGCCAGATGTAATATTTTAATTTTGTTCTATTTTGTTATTCTCAAGGGACTGCCTCCCAGAATAAAGTTATTTTTCTAAAAAAAAAAAAAAAGAAGAAGCAAAAAAAAAAAACATTCTTCTCTCTTTCAATTTAAATCACGAAAAGTATCAAGAAATCTCACATTAAGAGTGTACAATGCTATTTTAAATCCAATTCTCATATGCGACTATGAGATCTGGACACTAACCAGCAGGGGTGCCCATCCCCCCCAAGGTCGATGCCGTATGACACCTCCCTCCCCCTCCTCCTAAGAAATTTTATTTCTCTTCTCTTCTTAAAAACATCGCAAGCTAAAGTCAAATTTTAAAAATCATAAGTCATATACAATTACACCTTCAGTGGTCTGTACTATACTTTTCTCTTGTCTCCTGGTTTGAAACATTTCAATCCGAAAATTCATAACTCCATCGAAATGTGCCCCACTCAAAAATTCAAAACCCTGTCAAAATGTGCTCCCCTCAAAAATTTTGATGGTGCAACTTCAGCCATGAAACCCCTGCTAACTAGGACTCTATAATAAAGTACAAAAAGATCAGGAAAGAAAATTCTCTGATAAACAGAACAATCCAGGATGTTTTATCATTATGTGATTAGTAAATCAGCACTTTAATTAAAAATTATATTGAATTTTCAATATTTGGATTTGAGTATTCATTTGCAACTAAAACATTTTACATTATTTGAAAGTAGTCAGATTTATGTATATTTGAATCCCTTAATTAAATTGTTTTTAATTAGATCTAAAATATAATAAATACTCTTGTTACTTGTTCCTTGGAACAAAAATGATTTACACTAGTTTCATTTAAATTTTAAACAATTTTGTATTTAATTTTGTCTGACATGATGAAAAAATAAGAAATTAAATGCAGCAACGTGATCGTTATCACCAAAACTCTTATTCAATATGATAATATAACCAAGAACCATCACATTACCAACAGCTTCACTCCTTCTGGAATGGTCAGAACAAATCAGTACAGAGATAACGTTATAAATAGACTGCTGAGCTCCAATCTATTCTCTCAAAGCAATACTAAACTTCCAACAGTCAATGCCATCCACTGCAGTGGGCTAACCAGCAAAATAGTACCTTTAGATAAGTGGGACATGTAGCTTGAAACAATTCGTTAGGAAGCCTCAGCATAACCATGAATGCCTCAACAGTGGGCGAGACCACACAGAAAGCCAAAAACCTTACAGATAGATAGAATTAACAAAGAGCTACAAAACATGCAACTGGCAAGTAACAGAAAAGATGTGCAGAGATAGAGAAAGCTAGATCAGATGTCCAATGATCTAAAAGATCTGTAAAGACAACAGGGAAAATAAATAAATTGATCTTGGAAATAAAATTTAAGCTCTCTTGATAATGATAGGCAAAACCTACTCAGAGTACTGAGCATTTTACTCAAATATTGGTCTTGTTAATTATAAAAGATTGCAATCACTTAAATTGATTATTGACTATCAACTGAAATAATGATTAAATTCCATATACCCAGAACTCATAGTAGAATAGTTTTAGCCCATCTAAATGATTTAACCCTTTGACAGCGGATGGGATACATGCTTTCCCATTAAGAGTTGGATCACTGGTGCAGATGAGATATATGCCTTCCCGGCAATGAGTTGGGTCAGTGGTGTGGCCAGGATATATGCTTTCCCGACTGGGCAGTCACCACTTAAACAGGTAGGAGCAAGTCCCACCTTCACCATTTGACTTGTGGCTTGCTTGTGAGGTGCATTCATTAGTCCCCAGTAACGGATTCAGGGCGGTCGTTCCGGATTTATTCTGAACCTAAGGTATATTCTTTCTCAGTATATTTGTGTCATATACATGATCTTATTTATATTCTATTTACATATTTTATACATCAAATGAATGTTAATAAGTTAATTTTATCATTTTTTCTTTGATTTTGGTTTTAACTGAATGCTTTTAATTTTGGTACACGTGAATCTCTATATACTAAACAAATAAATCTAAGTTTCCTACATTATATATATATAATGTAATAAATAAATGTAAAAATACTCAAAAGTTTAAAAATATACAGAAATAAAATAATACTTTAGTTGTTTTATCATTTTTCCATCCACCTAAAAACAATATATATATATATATATATATATATATATATATATATATATATATATATACAAATTTTCTTCGATTGGCCTTTGATTATTATATTTTAACATAATCATTTTATTGGGAATAAGGTCACTTATTAATTATTCAATTAACTACTAAATGTTCATTGCTTCCGTGTTTATTCGACGTTTCGATCTCAGTTTTTTATAAGTTAACAATGGGATCCTCTTCAAAGTTTTAAAATAGAGCCTCAAAACCTCAGGCCAGGGACACACCGACAATTTCATTACCATCCACCAGCACATATATTAAGCTACTTTTTTTACTATTTTTTTTTTTTTTTTTTTATTATTTACTAAAAAGAAGAAAATTTACAAAAATATACGCTAGTCTAGACAATTCTAATTAATTATCTAGTCTTATTGCTTGTATGTTTGCCTCACTGATCTTGAGAAAGTTCTAAATCTTAAAGATAACCTCATCATAGTCAGAACATTCAATTATTCAACAGAGCTTTTTGCATGCTGCCGGAGATCTTCATCCTTCCAGTCATGAATGAGGTTGGTGATCTTAAGTTACCTTCAACAAGTCTGTTGAAATTCTCTGCATCTATGCTAAACATGGTATCAGGGTTTCCTTCTGATTTTCCCTTCCCAGTACTGCCGGAACCGTTCCTCAAGTCAATATAATAAATCTCTCGCCTGTCTTCTGAAAGAATGTTGAACTGGTAAATGGCCTGCGTGTCATTGACAATATCTGCATTGAATTTATCGCTAAGGGTTGTTATGATCCCTTCAATTGTTCCTCTGTTTGCGTTCAGAGTAGCTTAATATATGTGCTGGTGGAAAGTGCTGAGACTGTCAGTGGGTCCCTGGTCTGAAGTATTGAGGCTCTATTTTAAAACTTTGAAGAGGATTCCATTGTTAACTTATAAAAAACCGGGATCAAAACGTCAAGAAGCAATGAACATTTACTAGCTTACTGAATAATAATTAAGTGACCTTATTCCCAATAAAATAATTATGTTAATATATATATATATATATATATATATATATATATATATATATATATATATATATATATTTCATATAATATAAAAGTGTTTAAAATTCAAAATAAATGTAAGTGCAATAATAAAATTTATAATTGCACTATTTTCAATATGGAACTTTTTTAGGTATGAAAAAAATTGTAAATACAAAGAAATAAATAATTTGAATCCCGCCATAGGTGTCTTATTTTAGAAATAATTTACAGTTATTTTACTCTTCTGAAATGAGCAAATAGGCAAGAAAGCGAATTGCTGCGGGATTGCCACTATTTTAAGGGTGACTCAAAATAGCATTTTAAACAAATTTATGCAAACAAAAAAATTTCTGGACATCTTTTTAGATTTCAGGACGCACCATCTGGTAGAAACATGCGAATGAGCTCCCATAGTCAAAGGGTTAAAATTATTATTATTATTTTTTAATCTAAGGCTTTCAATAACAAGTTAAGCATTCATTACCCACAAATGGCACCTGTCAACTATCCCATTTCCTTGGCAGCTGTACATAATACTGAATAGTATTCCTCTTTTCATATGTTTTATTAATCAGTGTATATCAGCATTCATTAGCTGAAAAGAGAACAATCAATAAGCAATCACATTTTAAAATTTCATTGTCAGAAAAAATTTGCCACAAAATAAAATTTAAATTGTTCCATATTAAAGAACAGGGAGGAAATATAAAGAAATTGGGAAGTTAAACAAATTAAAAGAATTTTTGTAAAGATTTCAACTAGCAGAAATGAGTTAGGTAGAGATAATATTTAGAAAAGAGTCATACAAAATATTATATAAATAAGAACTAAAACATGTTTTTTATTCAGTCAGTATGATTACAGGTAAACACTATTTATGATTAATACTAAGCCATTCCATGCTAAATCATCCAGCCAGCGTTCAACTTTACACCTACTTATCACAGATTTTCAATCTTTTACATAGTCCATGTTTCTGACCCATATAATAATAACGGCCAGATAAGTGTTTTGTATAGAGGCATGTTAGCAGCCAAAATTTTTCTCCTTATCTCAAAGGATCTTTAAAGAGCCTTATCTTGCCTTACCAGTGAACGAAGATGCACAGATTTTTCTGCTAATTCAAAATTATATCCCAATAGTTTTTCCCAGACTGGGTATTGCTTCAAAAATCATATATTTTGTTTTCGCTTTACTAATACAAATGTTTAGTTTTCTTACTGCATTAGCAAGTTCCATAAGTGCCTCAATAGTTTCATCAAGCAAGTAGCCAATTATGTCAATATCATTCATATATGCAAGACACTGCATTGCTCAATTAAAGATTGTTCCCCTACGAATCTGTAATAGCCTTTTCAACCACTGTGTCAAATAGGAAGCAGGATAGAACATTCTCCTGCCATAATCCTTTGTTCAATCAAAATTCAGCCGACCTTCATCAATCTGTATGTATGTATGAAATGTCTCTGTATGATATGTATCACACATCGGACATTCCTCATAGCGAGCCTGATCAGCTTTATTAGGTTATTTGGAATGTCAAGGTCTTGGCTTTGAATAATACTATGCAGTACCGGCCTTAAGGAGGCACAAACCGAGGCAATTGCCCCGAGACGCCGGGCGATCAGGGGTGCCTGCCACTTTAAAAAAAACTACAAACGTATTAAAACAAATAACTTTAGCCTATCAATAAAGTAGCTGTATTAGAGAAATATTGAATGAAATATTATATAATATAAAACAGCTTAAGAAATATTTTTTTTTTTTAGGGGATGAGATGACATTATCCGGGGCCCCGAAAGAATAAGGCAGGCACTGATGCTATGGTCATTAATGCTATCATAGGCTGAATCAAAGTGCATGAAGAGATATATTCCTTCAAGTCATATCGCTTTTCTCTATCAAAAAATCATTGGGAGGGTGAAAAATACTATTTAAAAATATTATTTTTCATATATTGTGGATTTTCTTATCCTGAAACCACTTTGGTACTGGCCTAGCTTCATTTCTGTTTATGGTACTAACCTTAAATATTATTATGGTAATCCCTTGTAGCCAGTCCTAAGGTGACCTTTGTTTGTTGTATGGAATGGTAGTTGAGTGCTGTATAAGTATAACGTCAGAGTGTTAGAGTAAGTGTACCCCCAACCAGAAGGACCATGGGCTGATTCAGCTTCTCAGGCTGTATGATGGGTACACTGCTTCTTTACACCATAATATTCCCGGTCAAATATTTAGAGCAGTTAGAACAGACCAAAATTGGCAAAGAAAATAAAACCTTTATGGGCTTTTCCAAGAAATAAATATATTGCTGTTCATATAAATGGGAGGAATAATGCTGGACAAATTGCCAGAATAAATGATACACAAACACATTAATGGCTGTTGATAGAACCCATCTTCAGAACTAGGTGGCACGGAAAATTAAAGTTGATGTGGACTGATAGTATGGAAAATGATGCTATCAAAATCCTAAGAGTCAGAAATTGGATGGCAGTCACACAAGACCGAGAAAATTGACAGAAGCTGGTAGAAGAAACCAAGAATCAACACCAGATTGTTACAATGCATAACTAGTAATCTATCATCTATTTAACCATCACATATTTTAATAAAACTTCCATACATATATTACCTGTGTGAATAGAAAAATAAGTTATGGTTGATTGAAGTTTTAAGAGATTTGAAGATAATTTGAGCTGGAAACCAGATTTTCATGTATTTAAACTTTTGTGTGTAAAATCAATATTTAATTAGGCACAGATTTCAAAATTGATTTTTTTTGTCCTGAATTTTATGGATATAAGGAGAATCAGACAATCAATCCAAGCAGAATTCAATATAAATTTCACTGCATAAAAAAAACAACTGAACAAACATTTGTCTTCACCTCTTCTTAGGAGAGACATAATCAAAGTTTTATAATAATCTAACAGGATAATCTATTGATCTGTAAGAGGCAAATTACTTCCTACAAGTTTTTTTATCGTGTAACATGAGGTTACTTGGATCAAACGTAAAATGTGGTGGGACTTAGGTAAAGTGCCTCAGGACTTATCACTTCAACCATCCTTATCATGATATAGTGATTGTGAGTTACGGGTATATTTTTATAAGACATTAGGTGTAATTTAAAACATTTTATCAACAGATCTAAGTAATAAATTGAAGGGTCAAAATAACTTCAATTGATAATATATGTAAACATTACTTATAACATTTTTAACCATTTTTTTCCAAGCAATATATATTTTTAGTTAAAAGAAAATCAATTATACATTATCTATAACAGGAGTCACAACAAACATTAGACTGGTCTTAATTACCTACAGCTTAAACAGTATTTTCTGTTATTGATGGATATTTAATGTTTATGTTATTAGGTAATACTAGACTGATTATATTCTATGAAGATCAGGAATTTTTTATTTTTCAATTACAACAGCAGTAAGATGGTATCGGACAAAGAGGAGTTCTTTTCTCTGACAAATATAATTGGAGATGAGGAATGAACATTGTTTCAATCATTTATGGTTTTAAATAGAAAAATAATGGATAATGAGATGAATAAAACTGTGTTACTTATTTAATTCCTCAATTCTACTTATTAAAAACAATACTAATATAAAATACTAAACCATTGAATGGTAGTACATGCAATTTAAGTTGTAATTATTTGTTTAAAATTTATTTCGCGTACGTCGAAAATTCAAAATTAGTACCATAATCCTAAAGAGTTATTTCTACGACTAAGGGAATGACACTATTCTAATAATGTAATACAAAGTGAATTGCTTTGGCATATAAGAGGATAAATGACTAAAAATCTGTGACAGTTTCACTCATTCATTATATCCAGACACACTTACATAAATATGTCAACCAATAAAAAAACAGTTTTACAAAGCAAAGGCCATATCTAGCTCATAATAAGAGTATGTAGAGGTATAATAAAAAGGTTGAAGAGGTTTATCTGTTTCAGCTTTATTAACAAAAGAAAAACTAATGATGTAAGCAAATCCCTATAGCTGGTGAATTACATTTTAAAAGTAATCCACAGGCAATGAAATTGACAATTTCAAACTTACATAATTTAATTGATAGGATTTCCATCCCTAAACATAATTTTATTCCCAGTTCATAAATTCAAATATCACTATTTAGAATAGAAAGAAAGTTAATCACACTAATTACATAAATATTCCAAATGAAATATTAAACTAATAAAAATTGATAGGAAGTACACTGATAATATTGTGGATCAGGTTATTCTATTAGTCAACAACACAGGAAAACAAAGTAACCTTGACTGAAATTCAACTCAAAGAGGTTCAGGAACTAAGAACTACTTCGATAAAGTTTCAGATGACAAAGCGATCGATCATCTATCAGTAACATGTTGTTATGTTCCATTGTTGCTATGATAATTATCAACGTCATATATTTTATTAAAAGAGCAATGACACTCCATTGTAATAATTAATTAAAAAGTATATTGATAAGACAGTCAATTTAAAACATTTGATGAATAAACAAATAAAATTTATATTTAAGGATTTTACTTGGCATGTAACATGGGACACTGTGGTCAGTACATCAAACCAGGACCTCTTCGAAATATATACAAAAATCAAGCATACAAATATCGTTCATTATGAATTTTAAGTTAATACTATAGGGACAATTGTAATGATGAGACAGAACATTTATCTGATAGATAGTCATTTCTAAGCCTCCAAGGCTAATCCCGCAATATTTTGATTTTATAATCTAATTCAACGGAAATTTTATTGGATTCTAGTAATTTATAGAAATTAACAACTGTGTTCATACAATAAAACAAGATGTGAAGTAAGAATATAAAGCATGGTATTGACTTGTGAAAGAACCATCCGTTAGTAGCACTTTAATTTACGGAAATTAATACAGAGCTTAAAACTTCAAATGCATCTCCTATATAATCGTGAATTTTAGTTACGATGTGTAAAAAAAATATAAGCGATATAAACATTATATTCTTCAGCCACATGTTGTGTAGCATAACCATATAGTCGCAACACTAATTGAGATGTGCGTTCTGCCTCAGTGACATAACTAGAAGTAGAGAGGCCCTTTCATATTACTGAAGCGGAAAGGCTATATAGGACAATCATTTTTACTTCTCTCAAGTCATAAATAATTACGGCAGCAAAACTGAAGATCGAACTTTTATACTCGGTTCAATCGCCCAGCTTAATTAACTCAAATCAAGAATCTTCCCGCTTTGAGTTTACTGAATCCATTGTTCTAGGAAGCATAGAAAAGGTTAATCTCCTAATTTCCGTGATAGTCATGCGGAAGTTGTAATGTGAAGTATGTGTGGTAAATCCAAACTAGCGATGGTTCATAAGTGGTGGAGCCGTTCCATAAAAGAACCCGACTCGTCATACATAAATGACGTCACACGACTTTCAGAATTGTTTATATCATGATGAACCCTACAAATACCATTCAGACTGACACCATTTTAGCTCATTTGACGTTCAGATAACAGACAGTGTAGCTCTGGTACATTGTCAAATAATAATAATTTGTTTCATTAAAAAAGCTTATTTGGCTATTATCCTTTACTACACTGGACATCAAGAGAAAAGTAGAGATATAATAATTACTTCCTAGTGCCTGAAAATCGTTTTGACAAAAGTTAAAAAATAAATGTCAACTACTTACAAAAATATAATGAAAATAATACATGAGTTGAGAAAAAAGGTAAAAGAACTGGCGAATATAAACAGCAGTTAAAGATTAATTTTTCCTATAAATAAATTGTGTAGTTTCCACTTTTTTATTTAATTTATTGCCCACTTGACTATTTTAAGAAAATAAAAAAAATAAATAAAAATTGTCAGGAATTTCAGTTTTTTATTATTGGCTAATGACGTTTCGACCCAAACATGTGGGTCATCCTCAGGGCTATCGTTTGGAAGTTGATTCAAGAACTGAGTTCTTGTCTCAAATTTCAAACGATTTATTTGTAGTTCATTCGGGCAATCAAACCAGTACCCTCTATTTTTAAAATTGGCTCTCATATCTCAATGTTTGCCGTCAATTTCACTGATATTCTTTGTATTTTTTTTTTCGATTTATTCTTCTTTTCCTAATTACACTGACGTATAAATACTCGTTTCGATATTGTCATTTTCCATTAAGATATTCACTATTGATATCCTAACTTGACTAGATTGCCTGGACCATTGTGATTAGTGTTGGGGTGTGACAGTGATTTTCCGTCACAGCTCCGACAGCTACAGCTCCGAGAAAATCACTATGACAGATCTCAGTGATTTGTCACAACAGTGATTTTTTTGCCGGTGATAAGATACAACTGCTCCTTGGCGACAGCGTTACTGTGAAATCACAGTATCAGTCATCAAGTTATATCAAAACAAAAAACCGGAAATAATTATTTTTTTGTTTCCGTTTTTTACCCAGCAAAGCGGTGTTGAGAACAAGGAGTAGGGAGAGAGTTAACTATGAACTCTTGTATATTATATAATAATTACATAAAATCTTTAAACAATATTTTTTTTACATTCATTATTAATGAGAAAGTAAGATTTCTGTGATTAATTTAATATTTTGCGGGAAAAAATATCACTGAGAATCCTTGGCTTCTGTACACAGCCTTGCAGAGATTATTTGAGTTTATTTAATTTGAAATTAATTTTTCATTTATTTTGCAACAGTTAAATGATTTTTACAAATTTATTGGATTATAATTGGCTGGTCATTGGTGATTGGTTGATTAGAGTGTAGTGGGGATAATATGATAGCAAGGAAGCTTAACGATAATAATAATTTTATATTATTACATATTTTCATTATTCATGGATTTTAAACTTCTTTCAGAACAGTAATTATTTCTGAAATTTATTTTGAAAAATCATTTAGTTATAAAATAAATGGTAACTAAGCAATAAATAAGAGTGAATAAAAAACTTTCCGTTAATTATTTCAGGGATAAGTCATTCAGAAATGTACGGCAATGAATGTTCAATTCATCCAAAGTTCAAAAAGTATTCATAATAAAATTTGACGAATTACTATTATTTTAGAAATGATTATTTCTTTAATTCATTTATTAGATAAATGACGTCAACAATGCCCAGATCGCTGCAACGATAAAGCGGTGTGATCAGAGCTATGATTTCAGAGCGCCTACAGTGACCGTCCACTGTTGGAGCAGTGATTTCACATCGACTGCAGTGACCGTTACTGTGATTTCGGTGCATTTGTCCCTGTGATCACCAGGCCCGGTCACTGTGACAGAATCACAGCTCCGCCTATATGGTCCTATCTCTAATTGTGAGCCACAGCATGCGATTTGCTGGCATGAGTGATGATGCTGCACCCTTCAGCTTCCACCAATAAGTTCTTAAAAATTATCTTTTAATTTAACATACTTTGACTCGTTCAATGTTCATCTATTGAACTGTTTTTTGTATGTTTTTTAAAAATAAAATAATAAATTCACTCAATTTATGTCGTTTCTTGAAAATTGCTTCTCCCTCCATTACCCAAGTAAGTGACTTTCCCTCCCCTCCCCACGTAAGCGACTATGCCTTAGCCTTTGATTATACGTATGACAAAAAAAGTCTGTGAACACTAAAATTAATTTGTTACTACATAATATAGTATTATTGATCCTCTTTTGTTTTTAATGACTTCAATCTAACGGTGTATCATAGACCCTACTGACTTTGCTATAATGTCTCCAGGATTTTTTCCCATTCTCGCAAAAATATCTTTTTCATTCTTCTCTGTATCTTATTCCACGTTTTCTTAATCGGCGATTTATGGTTGTTGTCTTGTTGAAATTACCTTGGATAATGTCCCGCAAGAAGAGATTTGGGAAGCATTACATAGGAAGAATGTCCCTACTGGTAGAGGCTATGAAGTAAGCTACCAGGAACCTAAGGGAATGGTTCCCTCAGTGGAAAGGAAAAGGAATATGAGGAAATGACCGAATATTGAAAGAATGAGTTGAGGAGGTTTACTGAGGCTTGTGCTCGACGCTGAAAGCCACAAGAACAAGAAAAAGAAGAAGAAGTCTTGTTGAAATACAAATTTTCCTCTCAATTTTAACTTTTCTGGTACTTTATTTTAAATTGTCTCTTAGTGTAATAATGCAGATCCACAATACCGTTAGTTCTATGGAACTTATTTACTCATTTTGCACTCATGCATTCCCAGACATGTAATATTACTTTCTTTTAAGTATGACAATGGGCTTCATCCTTTCTGAGTTTTAATCATACTTCCAGATGAGTCGAAATTCAATGTTTTTAGCTTCAATGTTCGGCAAAAATATTGATGCTAATAGAATGTTCGTCGTAAAAATCGAAGGATGTAATTTTATGGTATGAGGGTGCATAAATATAAATCAGTTAACCATACAAGAAATGACGACTACAGGTAATAAACTGATGTCTGGACTAACTTATGTATGTCCTAACTGCTTAATGCGAATAACAACTTACTGCCTTCAAACTTGGAAATGGCTTTTATGTAAAACATTCTGGCACCTAAAAACTCCTCCCCGATCTCTCTATCTAAATCCCATAATGTGCTTATTGAATCTTATCAACCGCCGAGTGAGAAAATGACAGGCATAGAATAGGGAAGAATTAAATATTGGTAGATATAGAAGAATGAAAAAAAAAAAACAGGAGAAATTATTGCAAACTTTGTAGGATCCATGAAAGACCGTCAGTTAATAAATCAAAGAAAATGATAAATTTAATGGGCCATTGTTAAATATGATGGTAGACCCAATAAGGGTGGAGCGGCTTGGCCTGCAAGATTTTATTTTTTAACTTTTAACTACTCAATTTAAGTTAAAATAAGGAATAGATAACATTGTTTACATTATTTAATAATTACGTAATATATTTACATAATATTTGTGTTGCATACATTATAAAAGACGAGGCTAGGTTCTAGTGGTGAATTTAATATTTGAACATGGCACTATTTAATTTTTTTTTTTGGGGGGGGGCTACAGCCTGAAACCTTTTTTTTCATAAAAATAACGATAATTACTTAGGAAAAACAGAAAGAAACTAACTACCTATATGAAATGGTGTTTAAGTTATTCCTTAAATACTTTTAAGTGTAATTACACGAACAATAATACTTTAAAAGGTATTTTTTTTTTTTAAAATCCCATAAAACATGGTTGTATTTTTCCATTTAGGGACTATCTTCAGCCCGAAAGCCCCCCTCCCCTCCCCCCGCAGATCCGCCCGTGCCTAGGACCGACCATTCGGTTCTCTCCACGCCCGTGCATAGAGGAAAGTAGTATTGTGTTTCTAAGGGTGCATTAGAGGACGGTATAACATGTTCTTACACAATACGTGTTCTTAAAGGAGATTTAATGTTAAAAACTTTCTTCCTTATGACTTTTACGTAAAATGTAAAGATAAAGAGTTATCGCGTCAAATAATGATTAAAATGAGAGGCAAAAATAATTTTTTTTCGAACTTACTGAATTACGAGGACGGATATCTCGGAAACTATAGAAGATAACGAAGAAAGATATATAACCATTTCTGTTGCAAATTTTGTCAGCATTAATTTTACATATTACATTATTATCGCTAGAACACATAGTTTCACTGATATAAGTGAAAAACCGAAAAATGTGTTTGAATCCTAAATTCAAATTTTCAACTTGAGATCCACGGGTGAAGGTTAACTGACTCTTATTTCATGTCATAGGACAGTGAATACTATAAATTTAAAGGGTTGGTGGCTTTCTTTATCTATAAACTCTCTCTATATATAAGTTTCCTTCCTATATATGATCTCTATTATGTTCAACTGGCCGCCATCTTGTATTCCAGCGGTCAAATGCTGGCAGGCGTGCACTTTTCTCATCAGGACTGTGAACATGGTCAATTTATACTAAGGACAAACCTTAGTATGAAATAAGAAAACTTTTTTGCAACGGGTTCCCGGACTTGCCACGGATCGTGATATTCCCACTCTAGTTAGTACGTGGCGGCAACCTCAAGGTATCTGTCAGAGGTTAGCAACCAACCATAGTGCATTCATTTATATGGTTCACGAACTTGTTCTACAACGTGTTGGAATAATAGCGAAAAAATAATTTCATGAGCAATTAATAACCAGGAAAAAAGAGATCAGGCCCACCCCCCAAAATTGAATCCCGAATCTGCTACTGTTGAATAGTATTTAGATTTGCAGAATTATTTTTCGGAAGCATCTCCTTGGTGATCCAAGTACATCCGATTATTGAAGAAATCAGATTCGAACCAGAAAAAACATATTTTATTTTTTGGCAAAGATTAATATAATATTAATATTCCTAGAATTGCCCATGCATTTATTCACAATAATTTCTTGAAACTCATATTTTAATGCAATCTAGCATTTCGGAATAATTATAGAATCAATATTTATTACTGACTATTGGGCTATGATGATTAAAATTATTTAGACATTTTAATAAATATTGTGCATCGCATAAAAAAGTAATTATCAGTTGTTTATAAATGAATAACCGGTACCTTTAAATCACTGACAAGTAATATACAGGTTTTAAATAAAGAGAGCATTTGACAATGGTTGATAATCGATGCAACAATTAATTTTAGTCAGTCAGTAAAACTAATGATATGTTCTCATCTTATTTTTATTATATTCTATAAAATATTTCTTATATATATTTAAATATATTTTTCTTAATACAAGTTGAATAACATTTTAATCTTCCACTCGACCGGCATTGATAAATTGAATCATTTTTTAAACTATTGTTCTTACCTAGAAAAAAATTTCTGTTTATTTAAAATAATATATTCATGATAAATTTGCTATAATTGTAGAAAATATTAAATATTTATACATCTACCTTTCCATGTGGTAGAACTGCTTTTACTATTTTCGATTGGAGACTTTGGGTTCTAGACTTTTACTCCCTTCTTCAGAGCCAAGTTGTCGTCTGTTCACATTATCGTATTGCCGCAGATCCAATGGCTCTCCTATCGGCTAGATTATCTTCATCACTTTTGAAATATGTCCCATCTGTTTCTTCACAGGTGATTAAGATATTAATTCAATTTATATTAACTTTTGTATCCTAGAGTTTTCACATACAGTAATTTTCTTTGCGCCCTGTTTTAGCAGTTTCATATACTCAAGGGTTCATCATGGATCCTTAAAAAAATATTTTATCAGTTATTTGTATCGTTCTGTATTTTTTTTAACAATACTTTTTTTTTTTAAATTATATTAATGTGCTGAATATTCTTATAATCTTTTTGTTTCGTAAATATTCAGATATTTTTATATTTATAATTAAGTAGTGATATTATCAAAGATGTGTCCCTCTTAATAATTTTTGATATCAGCTTATTGATCTTAGGATTCTGCAATCCAAGTCCTAAAATCCTGATATAGTTTTTGTTGTGATAAGGGTGTGTAAGTTATCAATAATAATGGTGAATTGCTTTAAAAAGGCAATGTTAATATCAAATTTGTATTTTGAATTGTATACATGATTAATATTTCTTTTACTCAAATCTGTCGGAAATAATATAAATTTTGAATGCACCTAGTGAGTGACCGAATTTGATAGCTTGAAGAACATGGAGTCTTTGCCTGGGTTTTGATAAAACACTCTTTCGGATTTTGATATTACATTTTGCAATTAAATATTTATCGTTCAATTAAATATATTATGATGAAGCAAAATTATGTCAAGAAATAAGGTTACCAGATAAATTTATAGATAATAAGACATTTAAATTTACTTGCTAAATCGAAAATTAGTTTCTATGGTATTATTTAAATTCAGTTCTTGTTTTACTTAGATTTGCGTAATTCGTGAAAAGCTTGAGTGATGGACCTGGGTGTGATACTAATTGCTCTATCAATAAATCATGCCTATATAAACTCTGTGATATTAGTATTTATTATTGTTTTTAAAACTTTTTATTTATTAATTTTAAATATTACTTCTTTGATAAATTATTATGCATTGAATTACAGAAATATTGTACTTTCTTTCAGTGATAACAAAAAAAAAATCTTGATATCAGTGATTATGAAATTCATCATTCAATCAATTTTCAAATCCATATTATGATTCAAATTAATTGACACATTTATTTAAGTTTGCTGATAGGCATATCAAAGGACTTTTATTTGTTACATAGGTAGTTATATAAAACAGTATTCTATTAGGGATGAAGTATTTAGCTTTTTTATTAATATTGACTTGACTTTTTTTTAACTTAGATAGTAATTTAACACTATTCTATTGAGGATGAAGTAATTAGCGATTTTATTAATATTGATTTGGTGTCATTCATCTGAATTCTATTGCATTATATCTTAAACTCTCAGTTTTATTACTCAACTTCTGTAGGAAATAATATTTATAATGTGACTGCTGTTTTTACAATGATTTATTTTCACTTCCATCTGAGCAAAGATTTGGAAAATGTTCCCTAATTATTCCATGTCTTTTTGCCTTCAATACTATGTCAGACTAAGTTATCAGTGTTATACTTATGCAATTTTTTCTTAGTAAAGTGAAAAAAGATAAGAATACATTACAGTCTCAATAATCCGACTGTTCGCTCTTACATACCAGCTGTTTATTTTTTTCTCTACATGTCTGTTGCAGTGGAATGCATCATTTTACGTACTAGATATAATTTTACTTATAGATATCCAGTACGTTGTCGATTGATGTTCAAGGCTATAGTTTCGATTATGAATACAAATATATACTAATTATTGTTTCTGTGCATTACACATAAATAGTAAAAGTATAATGTGACCTAATAAAAAACATTCAAATTTTGTAAGATAGCTCATTAGAAGTTGTTCAAGGAGTAGAATAATGATTGGGGAACTACATACATAAGACATTTATAGAAAAATAAATTGAATCTTTCTTCAAGATTTATAAATTCCATCATAAGTAAACCATCCAAAGGGAATTTTTTTTTTTTATTAATTTGCCTCCTCTCATCTTCTTATCACGCACAACCAATTTGTTTATAGGGTCCAATGAGTATAATCTTATTACAATTTGATTAATGTGTCTAGTAAATGTATTTATGATTATTTTTTGTTATATTAAATGCTGTTATTCCTAGGATCTTAATTTCGGAAACATTAATTAGAAGGAAATTAATCTAAAAAAATATGCTAAAATGAGAAAAATGAGATGATTTTTAATGGGATTAGTGCTTACTAATTTTAACTGGAAAGAACCGTTTCTTTTTTTAAATGTTGTTAATGAAAAGTTGAATTTAAAAAATAAATAAATTGTAATAAAGAATAATTACTGAACTTCTATTATTTTTTTTTACTCTTGAAGTCTTAATCTACACCTGTCATAAATTTTACAATAAATAGATGTTCTGTAGTGAACTTGTAAAATGATATAGTCATGAGCCTCAACAGCAGGCAAAACACCATATGGAAAGCCAAAAACTAAATGGATATATCATTACAATGAAGATGCTGTAGACAACTGACATGTAAGAGTCTCAGATAGGCTGAGATGGAGAAGGTTTTTTAGGGCAGCAGAAGATTTACGGCTAAAAGTAAAAAAAATCCACCTAGACCTGGTTTTATTGGATTATCAATTTCACTTTATGCTCTTAACAATGGAGCTTTTGGCCGTCAGATTGCAGTTTCTAGCGAATATATTAGATTTTATTATATGAATATCTATTTCAAACATTATATTACAGGGGGTGTTGTTTAATGTAATGTTGTATATTATAATAATTTTATTTATGATTATCAATACTTATTGTTTGTTTTTCTTTAGGTGTCTAACTTATCTCACCCATCAAAAGTACTAAACAGAAATGTTCACTACACACGCAACCTTAGGGCAGCAGAAATTTCATCTGTCCTGGAAGAAAGGATTCTTGGATCTGCCCCCAAGGTAATAACATTAAGTATTAATACTGTGTTTTTTCTATTGTCCTAATGCAAGTTTTGATGACATGAGTATATAATTTTTATAAAATATATTAATTAGTTTCAGTGATTTTAACAACTTAAATTTTAATGTGATTGATATAGTTCACTTAAAATTTCTCTGATCCCTTGATAATTACACCAGTTGTTAATTTTCAACTTACCATACATTAATCCTTCAAAAAATGTACTAATAATTAAATCTTGTAAAAAATACTTGGTGTGAATCTTTTTCACATTTGTTTAAATACTGTGAAATCTTGGTAATTTAAACTCAGCCCCTGAAATGATAAACTTTCTTTTTGGAAGAAATGGGTCAAATGTTTCATATAAAAAAAAGTAACAGGAATGTAGAAACAAATTTCTAAGGAATGTGACACTCATTATATGCATACCCTGTTTTTTTTTTCAAAAATATCTCATTTTTATAAAACCAATGACTGTGTGGCATCCTCAAAGGGGCAGGATCTAGTTTCAATTACTGTATTTGTTGATGAGAAAGAGCCCACAAACTGTTGTGGCAACAAATCCATCTTCTGCATCAGTAAGGAAGGACTTCCAAAATTTATAACAAACAAAAGTTATAGAAATTTAAAAAAAAAAATTCTTCCGGATATTGAATGGAGATGACCGATTCCCAACCCTCTGTTATTACTGAGATTATACTGCATTGCTTATGTATTAATTTTAATTATTTTTTTATAAATGTTTGAATATGAATTCAAGAAATTATATAATCATATTAAAGTTTTAAACATTATTTGGTACTTGTTCTGGATTGCTACTCTAAGATGGTGGCTGATCTCAAGATAGCACTGAGCATACATTACATAAAATCCTTAAACCACTTGAGTTCCCAGAAATTGGCTGGAGACGACCAGCTTCCCAAATCTCTGTTGTTATTAAATTCTTTTGGTTATTAGGGAAATTCGTTCATACTTATAAATTGATTGTTTATATTAGGTTATGTCAGCATTAATTTAATGTTGATATTAACATCTATCAAGGTCACTTATTGTTCCATTGCATTGCTGCAATGTTAATTAACTCTTTGATTGTGGGAGCTCAATCAAGTGTTTCTACCAGGTGGCTGGTTCTGTAATCCAAAAAGACATTCAGAGGAATAGATTTTTTTTTGCATAAGTTTAAAATACTATTTGCATAAGTATAAAATACTATTTTAAGTCGCCCTGCAGTATCTTAGCTATTTTAAATACATTTTAACCTTTTTATTTAACTTTTAATAAACAGGACATATGCCTTCCCGTCCACACTTCGCTTTCTTGCTCATTTCTGAAAAGCAAAATAACTGAAAATTATAAAAATAACAGTAAGTGATAATATAAATTAAATTATTTTATTTATAAAAAGAAAAAGACACCAACGTCAGGATTTGAATTATACGAGGGTGGTCTGAAAAGTTTCTGACCTCAACGTGGAGATGACAGCACTCGTAATTAAAAGCAAGTGAATTTCGTTGTTCATCTGTTAACAGTTATCCACCCACCAAAGTTTCAGCCATTTTGGAGTTTTTATGTAACAGTCATTTGAGTGAGTTGATACGAGTGTTTTTGTGAAAATGAACAAAATCGAGTATCGAGCTGTCATATATTAAATATTTGTTTTTGAAAGACAATATACCTACGTAAATCAAAGATGAGTTGGATTCTATGTCATGGGGACTCTGCACCATTATTTAGCACAGTGAAATTTTGGGCAGCTGAATTTAAACGTGACCGTAAGAGCTTGGGAGATTATGAACATTCGCGACGTCCAAAAAAACTGCAGCTTCCGATGAAAACATCGCCAAAGTTCACAAAATGGTGCTAGGCGGCCGCCGAATTAAAGTGAGAGAGATAGCAGAGATTATTAACATGTCAAAAGAACATTTTTGTTACATATTAAATCAACATTTAGATATGAGAAAGCTGTCTGCATTTTAGGTGCCGTGTTGCCAAAAATGTGTTCGAATGAACATTTCCAACTCTCTGTTGGCCCAGTTTAGGTGCATTATGTATTTTTACTTATAAATAACCAATATTGTAAATATCTACTCTATTTATGACCACTTACACATGTATTCAGCACTTATAATTTGTTCTAAAGGGACAACAGTCCCAGAATAATAAAATATATTTTCATTTAATTAAATCCGAGTTTTGGCGCCGATTAATTACTATACATGATATATACATACACTTGTGTGTGTGTGTGTATATATATATATACATATATAGATATGTAGGAAACTTACATTTATTTGTTTAGTAGACAGAGATTCACATGTACCAAAATCAGCATTCAGTCAAAACTTAATTATTTTTTATTATTTTTTTTTATTGAGTAATTATAACAATCTGTCTGTTGGACATTGGTGAACTTAAAAAAACTTAATTAAGCGAAAATTGTAAAGTTAACTTATTTACATTTATAAAACATCTAAATAGAATAAAATCAAATCATGTATATGACAGAAATAAATAACAGAGAAAGGATATACCTTGGGTTCAGAATAAATCCGGAACGACCCCACTGAGTCAATTGCAGGGGACTTATAAATGCACATACCAAGCCACAAGTCAAGCGGGACTTGCCCCTACCTCTTTAAGTGGTGACAGCCAAGGTGGGTGGGTAGGCATATTACCCATCCACACCAGTGACCCAACTCCTAATGGAAAAGCATTTATCCCATCCGCCCGCAGTCAAAGGGTTAAATTTATATTTTAAGCCTGTTCCTTTGTATCCTATATTGTATAATTAAAGTGATTTGAATTAATATACTATTATTATTAATTAGTATATTATTGTATAAAGATATGAGAATATACCCACATCATTGTGTATGAAGATCATAGTCTATTGTTTGCTGAGATTTTTTCTATATGCTCAATGTGATCTTGAAACCAGCTGCCCTGTTGGCATAGCGTATCAGAATTAATGTTCTGCCATAAATCGTTGATTTAGTTAAGGAAGAGTGGGGACTGCCATTAATTAACTGTAGCAGTAAGTTACTCAGATCATTGTGATAATAATTTCTACAGTTTGATTTTTAAATTTGGGAAATAGTTGGTGTGTGAATATTACTGAAATATGTGAGAATAATTGTTACTTTCTTACTTAGTTTTCTATGTATAATAAATTTATGAAATTATTGTTGGTAAATTTTTAATGCTTTATTTAGAGCCTTTTAGGTAGATTTTCTATCTTATCCTACCTTCGCTGACACAGATCCCAAGTGTCATTCTCTGCTTACAATTATCCATTTTTTTAAATTTTTTTTTATCTCGTAAGCAAACAATTGATTCAACAGATTCCTTTCTAAGTGAATTGTAGCCATAGATAATAGATATATATATGGCTACATTGCAACTCTTTAGTGTCATGGTGGAGGTACGCTCTCCTCTCCACCACGCTGGTATTTACCTTGTCTCCTTGCTCCTTTCATATCATTAGATTTCAAGGTATCTTAGCTTGTCTTTTAAGTATTTTTTATTTTTATTTTTACCTTCTTTTAACATTAAATAGTAAATTTTCATTTAATTATTGTGCAATTGCAAGACTTGAATTTGTAATTATAATTAGTTTGATTTAACTGGGTAAATTTTTTTATTTTTGGACCTAACTAATAGGTTTATTGTTATTTTAGATTGATTTAGAAGAAACTGGACGAGTACTCAGCATTGGTGATGGTATTGCTCGAGTTTATGGTCTTAAAAACATTCAAGCAGATGAGATGGTGGAGTTTTCTTCTGGTCTTAAGGTACAGTATTTTATTCTAACCTTATATTATTTATATTTACTTTCACATTATTTATATTGTTAATTCTCAAATTGTCATTAAGATTTTTATGCAGTAGTAGTAGTTTTCAGACAGTAAACTATTTTGAATTATTTCTTGTTTAAGGGATACATGTAGTTGATAGTTAATAAAAACTAGCATATAAAGGTTAAATTACTCAGTAAATTTCATAGCTGTTTTTTTTTCTGATCATCTTTCCACAACTCTTATTATTTCTTTGTTATTATCTTAAAACAAGATCAAGCTATGTTATTTAAGACTTAAAATTCTTGGAGTATAAATATAATTAAGTTTTTTTTTTCATTATTGAAAAAATGTTAGGTAGAAATTGAATTTGGCGAATGAGTCTGCATTATTAACAAATGCAGCATATCTAGCACATCTACTCTTATAAATATTTATTAATTATTTTCAATTTTAAAACATTTTACTTGCTTTATTTAATACTGCCATATCAAAGTTAATAAAAGTATGATTATTTTTAATTTTGTAACTAATATGTATTGTAATATATTTATTACATGTTATTTAACTGTGTTTTTATTTCAGGGTATGGCTTTGAATTTAGAACGCGACAATGTGGGAGTTGTAGTTTTTGGTAATGATAAATTGATCAAAGAAGGTGATGTTGTAAAGAGAACAGGAGCCATCGTTGATGTACCAATTGGTGAAGATCTGCTTGGACGTGTTGTAGATGCTCTTGGCAACCCCATCGATGGAAAAGGTCCATTAGCTACTAAGAAAAGGCAAGCAATTCAGTCTATTACAGTAATGGATGTTATAGAAATTAATTTTTGTATGATGTTGAGTATATTTTATTTATATCTTACTCCATTATCATTCTGTCATATCAACTATTAAAAAGTTCATTTAAAAAAAAAAAGTCAAATAACTATTTTCAAAAATAAAATAATTTATTGTGACTAATTAGCTTTATATCGATTCTTTATGAGATTGAAACAGGCTATTAATGATAATGAGTTATTCTTAAATGTTTGCATATAATTATTTTATTATAGCAGTTCATATAAATTAAGTAATTTTTTATTAAAATGTAGCTTTAATTACAAATAAATAACAATTGTTTGTTTAGGGCTCGTGTTGGAATTAAAGCTCCTGGTATCATTCCCAGAATATCTGTCAGGGAGCCTATGCAAACTGGTATCAAGGCTGTTGATTCATTGGTACCAATTGGAAGAGGACAGCGAGAACTTATTATTGGTGACAGGCAAACTGGGTAAGCAGTGTATCTATCTAGTTTACCTAAGGTGTTCAAAGATAGGTTTTAATTATGCTACTAATCATTATAAGATAGTTGATATATTATTATTATTGTTAGTGTTGATACCTGGGTCTTATACCACTAACAAGAGAAATGTAAATTGAATTTCTCATTTAATTTTTTATGTATTAATTTGGTGAACTTAGTATTTTTACTTCCATTTACCCATATATGAAATTTGTAGTAAGGGGAAGTGTTGCAATCATGAAAATTCTCAAATCTGAACTTTTTATTCAGATATTATTCCATGAATTTGTTTCTTTACTGGCATTGATCTGTATTATTTTTTGTTCAAATGGAATACTAAACCTATTTATTGTTTTTCCTACAAACATTTTTGAAAGTTAAAAAGTGAACCATCTCAACACATTAAAACATTATACCTTATTATTGTTTTTCTGTAATGTATTATTTTGTGTTATGTACTGGTCTGAGACGACCTCAGGAGCTGTTCAAAACATTTCTTTTTTTTTTTGTGTCTAGAAATTTTGTGATAATTGAACTGTATATGGTTATTCAACGGAAGGATAATATTACTCTCGTAATAATTTAGTTATGAATGATTCATAAATATCTATTACATATAATTTTTATATAATTTCCTGCAAAAATGACTTGGATTTTATTTTTAATCGTAGAAAAACTGCTTTGGCTATTGATACCATTATTAATCAAAAGCGCTTCAATGATGCAGATGAAGAAAAGAAAAAGCTGTACTGTATATATGTTGCCATTGGCCAGAAACGATCAACAGTGGCTCAAATACTCAAGCGTCTGACTGATACTGGTAAGATTTATCTTTGTGTTATTATTTTAAACCTTTCAAGAAGTCGTTATTCAAATGAGTTAGAAGTTTACTGCTGTTATCAACTTGAGGAGAAATCTGTTTGCATTTTTTCTGACTATTGGTCATTTTTTGAATTATTACGGATCTAAGCTATTTCCCTTTTACACAGATCCTGTTTTTTGGGTGAAAATTTTGGCTTCTATATTTTATACCCACAGAAATTTAGTTTTTATCTTGATTATTTGATGTATTAATTTCTATTGTTACAAAATTTAATCATCTCATATAAATTTGTAAATCCCAGTTTTAAGGTTCATTTAAGCATATTACATAGCATATTCCCTAGGTTTTTTTAATCCAAAACTCTGGGCTCGGCTTATAATATATGATCTTAATTTTGAAGTGAAGTTGTTCACCAAGATTACTTTCCTGTTACATCCAGTGGAAAAATATGTTAACCAATAAAATAAAAATATAAAATTATTATAATAATAAAATATTATATAAACAATAATAATAAGAAAAAATAATAAATGAAAATCTTTATAAAATGTCATCTTCTTGGCTTCTTTTTTTTTTAAACTTTGCTGTGTAAAGTTCGTGATGATCTCTCCTGGTAGTTAGAATTCTAAAGTACTTAACTGCAATTTTTACGTCAACAAACTTAACCATGTTAACCAGTCTTTATCCTGGATGGTAATTGTAGATCAAGGGTTCTCGACTTTTCTCTTTTGTAGACACATTCGAGGTTGCTAGAAATATTGGTGGACACAATTTTATTTAAAAATGTATTAATAAAAAGTATTATTTCCATATGGACATACCATACATCTATTAACCTAAATAAATAATTAAAGTTTAAATAACAAAATAAACTCTAATTGTTACTTTGAATAATGCAGTCTGTGAAAACTAAAACTCTACTACTGAAAGTACTTATTCTTGCAAGGGCGCAAGTTCGAGAACCCCTGCTGTAGATAATTTCCTGTTAAGAATGATTCATTACAGTCATTTATGTGATATAAAGTTAATCGTGTAAATTTACTTTATTTTTTAACAACCATAATCCTTAAGGATGTCATGAATTTTTAGCTTTACAGCTCGCAAATTCTACTTATTAAGTTTTATGTCTTTCAGGTGCTATGAAGTATACTATTATTGTATCAGCTACTGCCTCTGATGCTGCTCCTCTTCAATATTTAGCTCCATATTCTGGATGTGCTATGGGAGAATTTTTCAGGGACAATGGAAAACATGCCCTTATCATTTATGATGATTTATCCAAACAAGCTGTTGCATACAGACAGGTATGGCTATTTTGTCCCTCTATTATATGATTTAGTTTCTCTTAATTATTTTATTTATATCATAATAAGTAATTATTTTTATTCATTATTAAAATTTTATTCACAACTTCTAGATTTTCATGAAACTCTCATAACTAACTTAACGATTTCTTATTACCTTTAACATTTTTAAACCTGGTTAATTGTTGCTGAATGTTTCTTTCAATTCTGGTGAAGGATAAAGTTCCTTTCGAATAAAAATGTAGCTGTCTTGAGGAGAGAAGGCCGGAGAGTCCATTAAATAAGAACAATGCTTGGAGTAGGTTAGTCAACTGTTCATTGTTTCTGGAAGCCAGGCATCTATGGATAAGAGGGCTGACCATGGTAGACTCAGAACTACAACTCTATCTGATAATATGTCATGATCTTAATGTTAAGTGATCACCATTTAACTCCTCTTACAGTTTAAGACAGGCTTTTTGGTATGGAGTAACAATTTTGGTAGCATGGTCATAATGCAATGAGTCCAGAAGGCCGATTGTTTTTGGCAACTAGCTATAATGGGGAGGGTTTTAATTACAGCTAGGTCTCATTTTGGTCTACACCATTCACACAGTTGAGGCATATTGTGAAGAGAGCCAGAGAAGCGATTTGCAATGGACTCTTCCCAAGTGAAAACCTTTTCAAAAACCATTAGTTATGGCTAAGGGGAGCAATAAATCTCAATACTTTTACTGAATACATTTTCTTTAATGAGTCTCATACAGCTCTTGGTGTATTAAGAAAGTGTGTCTAATGATAGTGGTCCTGTTCGCTCCATCTGTTGGCAAACAGTATATTTTGAGCCTGTCAACGTACCACAGTGGTTCCCGAATATATGGGACATGTGAGAATTATAGTTTTTCCATTGGATTACACGATGTTTCCATAGTTGGTAATATCTATAGAAATCCTTATTTCAATTGAATGATATATTATCTGTCTTAGACAAGTTCTAATTTCTTATTTTTATATTTTAGAATTAGTTTTGTGTACGGTGTTTTAATTGAAATGTTATGTTTATGATGAACTTTAAATTATCTACAAAATTAAAAAACTAATTCTAACTACAAATTGCAAAATATGATTTTGTGTAAAATCTTATTTAATTAAATGGGAAAGTTAATGTGTCCGTTTTTTTTTTTTTATTATTCTTATTGCAGTTAAATGTATTTTATTTGTTATACATTACTTATTTGTATTACAGTAATTTTTTTTTTTTTTAGATGTCCTTGTTGCTGAGGAGGCCTCCTGGCAGAGAAGCCTATCCTGGTGATGTATTCTATCTTCATTCTCGATTACTGGAACGTGCCGCTAAAATGAATGATACTCAGGGAGGTGGTTCTCTTACTGCCTTGCCTGTTATTGAAACTCAGGTATGAATGTTATATTTATACTCATGATGCCTTTGTCACTTAGTAATAATACATTATTACTTGGTAATAATGTTCCTTTTAAAAATTATTTAATCTTATTAATTCAAAATATTGGGTTGATATAATAAAGGGATTAAATTTTTTATTTATTTTAAATTATGAGTGTTAAAAAAATGTATTTAGTTAAAATAGTTACTGGAGATATTTGTAACTTTTTCAGAAGTTGAAAGATCTATTATGCAGTATGATAATAATTTTTCCTTGGTTATTTTAATGGAAAACAGAATGAAATGTTCACTTTTCAGTAAAACTTAGTAATAAAACACTAAGTTAAATATTTTATTTAAATACAATTTAGCTTAAAAAAATTAATTGTGATACATCTCAGTATTGACAACATTCATGAAATCCGTTTTTTGTACTGTTACTGTTTTAATGGTACTAATTTCTGAACCATAATTTATTTTATCTTTTAGTTCATATTGTCAATTAATAAGGTATACATATGTTTATTTTTACATGTAATTCTTTTTCAGGCTGGTGACGTCTCTGCATACATTCCAACCAATGTAATTTCTATTACTGATGGACAAATCTTTCTTGAGACTGAGTTGTTTTACAAAGGTATTAGGCCTGCTATCAACGTAGGTTTATCTGTATCTCGTGTAGGATCTGCTGCTCAGACAAAAGCCATGAAACAGGTACAATGTTTTTTTTATAACATTTCTTTGACATGATTTAAGATTTTATTCATAATAATAGATGTATATATTTTGTTTTATCAGGTTGCTGGTTCCATGAAATTGGAACTTGCCCAGTATCGTGAAGTTGCTGCTTTTGCCCAGTTTGGATCTGATTTAGATGCTGCCACCCAACAACTTCTCAACAGAGGTGTAAGGCTTACAGAATTACTGAAGCAGGGACAGTATGGTAAGAAATTATATAATCTTAACTGTGAAACAATATATGTACTTAATATTGTAGGCTAAGTGTGATTAAATTTTTAATGATTTGACCAATAGTTAACTATGTATTGAAGTTGTATTCCTTTAATTCTAGTGCCCATGGCCATTGAAGAACAAGTTGCTGTTATCTATTGTGGAGTAAGAGGTTACTTGGACAAACTTGACCCCGCTAAGATCACATCTTTCGAAAAAGACTTCCTTGCACACATCAGGTAATATACTTTCTTTAAATTGTTTTAGGTACCAGCTTTATAATATGTTTTAAAATTACTCCAAAACTTTTCAAAACCATCTACCTCAATTAAATTTCTAATTTTAAAAGTCAAGTCACCACTTGAATAATATTGTGCTCCACCATTCTGTTACTTCTGTTTATTTTCCTGGCTTATGCTGTCTTAGTTTTTATTTATCTTTAATATTTCATCTATGCATGTTTATTTTTTCAGGACCTCCCACAAAGATCTTCTTTCAACTATTGCTAAGGAAGGAAAAATTTCTGATGATGTTGATGGTAAGCTGAAAACCATCGTCACTTCATTCTTGTCCTCCTTCTCAGGATAAATCTTTTATAACTTATCATTCTTCCTTAGTATTACATTGTTTATAAAACTACAGTCATCTTGATTTTTTTTTCTTACCCATCTTCAGCATATATGTGATGTTCGACATCGTGGTATATTAATGTATATAAGATAAATATTCAGTTTTGCCATGTATAGAATAAACTTTAGTGAAAACAGAAAATTATTCCAGTTCATTTTTTTTTTTATATGTATTTATAATGTTCATTTACCGATCTATTTGTTCTGTTATGGATTTATTTTGTTATAAAAAGTAAAACAACAACTTGTTTGTAAATATAATTATTAAAAACCATATAAAAATTGATTTTTGTTTTTAATTTGTTTCCCTTTTTAACTGGATACTATATAATTCACAGTATAAATAATGTTTTTATTTATTTATTGTGTACATATCCATCAACTGTAATTCAGCTTTTAGCTGGAAAAAGGAGTATATCATTTTAAGAAATGACTTTTTAAAGATTTTACTTCAGTTCTAGTAGGTTGATATAAAATTATGTTATCAGTGTTTTAAGGCTTCTCTTCTTACATAATGTATTAGGGTGTACCAGTTGTTGTATGATTAATACTGTTGCTTAAACAAAATAAATGGAAGCTGACTTTAAGGTTTTTGAATACTTACAGGAACTAATAGGTGAGACTCATATAAACATACATATTTTTATTATGTGTATTTCATCTTTATATTAGCTGTAATAATTGTCGGATTGATGTATATGATCTGGTTATATCATATGAAATGTTACAGCTGTGATATTTAACATGAATGAATTCTATTATCTAATTTATGAGGGCTATGGTTAAGGTTAAATCCTATTCTCTGGACAATGAAATAATAAAAAATAAGTAAATAAATTGATTAAATCAACAAAGAATTGCATGCGTTACTGGAGTTCTCAAGGCACTATGGAGCACAATAACCATATGGGTACATTAAGTTCTCCAGATTTACAGTCAAAAACCTAGGAGTAACTTTTGACCAGCACCTCTCCTGGAATAACCATATCTCCCAGATCGAAAATCCATAACTGCCCTTAAAAAAACTAAGATTCCGTGATTGTATTCCTCTGAAAACCAGACAGCTCCTAGTAACCTCCCTTATATTTCCCCACTTCAACTACACTGCTTGGTGTATGGAAGATTATTTGCCAGACTAGAAATAAGATTAAAGAAGCTCATGAACTGTTATCAATATGATACATCTTTGGGATCCACAAGTGCTCCCATGTTTCATTCAGGTACACCGAGTTGAAGTGGCTTTATCCTACTTCCCGACAACAATTCCTCCTTAGCGTTTTCCTTTTCCAAGTCCTCAGAACCAATATCCCTCCCTACATCCTGGAACTCCTCCTTACTTCACTTTCCTATCCACTCTCTCAATACCAGGTCTCAACCTATAGATTTATATATCCCCTCCCATTAAACTACTTCCTTCAGAAAATCCTTCGTCATTCGTGCTTCCTCCTTTTGAAACTCTCTACCTAACTCTATACGTCAATCTTTGTCTACAAAATCCTTCAAATAACTCCTGTTCCACCATCTGCTCCATATCCAAACTTCCGCAAACATGTAAAATTCACTTGCATCTGTACAATGTTATGTTATCAGTGTAATTCAATCAACTGCACAATTGCAAAAACAATCAACAGTTAAATAGGCATCATTTTGTATTCATGTAAGCCAGACTAATGTTCTTAATTATGTATCTGTTATTATTCTTAGAGGACTGTAGTCCCAGAATAAAATTATTTTTTCATTTCAATAATTATACAGCCACCAAGAAAAATAAAAACGAAATTATAAGATCGACTAAAGAGAATTCTTCAAAGAAAGATTGCAAATCATTGAGGACAATTGGCAGACTGGAGATATACTAAAATTCTAAAAGGAAAAAGTAGAATATAAAGCGAGGAAAATATGGTTCTAAACGCATCGAAATAAAAGTTCCTAAGCATTTGGAAAGAATATTTCCAGCAACTTTTCAACCAAGGGAAATCCATGAACAAAGAATACATGGACCATACTGAATACTTCATTATCAATTGACTCAACTTACAAGAGGTTGAAAAATAGATATACATAATATGGTAATAGCGATTAAAAGGCTTAAAATAAGAAAAGCCTCAGGGATGGATAACCTATCTACATAGCTGTTTAAAGATGGAGTAGAAGATCTATGAACAAAAGTACTAAAAATGATCCACTAAATATGGGAGGAGGAGAAATGATTGCAAAGGCTTGAAAGAGGAGCCTAAAGAAGAGATCTACATATGAAATTATTACAAAGGTATATCACACTGTTACATACAAGATAATGTCTATTATCCTGCTAAATCGGGTATATCTGTATTACGAATATAATTGACGACCACCAAACTGGATTCAGAAGAGAAAGAAATACAATAGACCAAATCTTCATCACAAAACAGGTGCCAGAAAAACGATGGGAAGTAGTTCTGGACGTGCACGCCTTTTTTATCGCTTTCGAAATGGCCTATGATTCCGTGGATAAAAACTGTCTTTTGAAAATTATGACTGAAGTGGGAGATCCCAAACAGTTATATGTCCACCACTTCCAATCCATCCCAAGTTCGAATTCACTGCATATGCATCACATTATGACATCGATATAGCTAACACCGGAAATGATGGATTCAGAAAAGGAAGGAACACGCTAGACCAGATTTTCATCCTAAAACTTTATTTTTTTAAATCGTAGGAAAATATTTCTCTTATTTATGTATCCTCTATTTTTTATTACTAGCAATAAGAGATTGCTATTTTTTTCTAATAAAGAAAATTAAAGGTACAGATAAAAGAACATATCTGGAAAAATGTTTTAATTTTTATCTTAAAATACAATGCATTTGAATTTTCAAGAGTTTAAATTGTAAAAAAAAAAAAATTAAAATACAAAAAATTAATTACTTATTTCTCAGTTAGTTGCACTTGACTACTGGTTTTCATGTGCTTAAATTATTTACAAAAATGTTTTGAACTGAAAAAACAAATTACTTATGTTTCAAGTAGTTTTTTTTTTTCTTTTTTTTATGAAAATGGGTTATGAGATGAGGAAACAGTATTTTTTTTTAAAATAATTGATAAAGAACAATATTATTATTTTATTAATATTAATATTATCTCTGAACAATTTGTAAAAAAAAAAAAGTGTCACTTTGTTAAATTAACTCATTTTAATGGTTCTGTAAGGTATTGCATAAATTGATTTTTTTTAAAAATTATTTAAAGTACTAATTAAGAAAAAAGGCCTTTTTATTATCAACAACTATTTGTTGGTAGTTCCTTACATATTTATTCAGCAGAATACTTCTTTTCACCCTTCCTAAGCTAATACCAATTCTATGGACAAAGAAATTTTGTGTTGAAAGTTTAACACCATGGACATCAATAATAGATTTCTAGAATTAGGTAAACATCAGGTTTAAGCATATATTAAATGAATCTATTCACTTAACTTGATAACTCACTTTATGTATTCAAAATACAAAAAAAAAAAAATACATTTTTTGGTATCCTAAAAAGAAAATACAATATACTGGGTGTTTCATGGTTAAGTGGCCAAACTGCAAAAATGAACTAAGAACCTCAAAACAAGAAAAAAATGTCTTCTTTTTTTGTGTGGTTTTGGTCCGGTCAATATAAAATCCCCTACGGCATCGGGACGCAAACTCGTACTTTTTAATCTCTCATAACTTCGGTTATCTGGTGGCCGGACAACTCGCTTTGCTGTGCACACGCGTTATCCCATTCAGCCACCTTACCCCCTATATAACCCTCAACAATACAAACTTTTTACGTTTACTGGATTATTCATTCAGTGCCGGCCTTAGACATTAGACATTAGGCTCCCCCCCCGAGAAATTACGTCATCTCCCTATAGAAATAAATGTATTTCTTAACCTGTTTTATATTATGTAATATTTAAATTTTATTTCATTTAACATTTATCTAATACAGTTGCTTTATTGATAGGCTAAAATTAATTATTTTAATATGTTTCGTATTTTCTTTAATTTCTAACAAGTGGCTAGTTAGCGCCCCGAAGCGATGGCCCCGATTGTTCCACCCTAAGGCCGGCACTGCATTCATTTGTATGAATGTCAACACTTATTAATCCTCTTCCAAACGATAATGTTTATTTACCACTGTAGCATTTGACTGCTTAGAAATAATTCAGTCTTTACAAAGATGTCAATGCGTGATTTTCTTATAATGTTGTTTTACGAGTTTAAACGGGAATAGGGAATGGGGTCCAAACGGGCAGAAACATAAATCAATTCTGGGGTGAGAAAAGCATTAATAAGTGCATGGTTAAAAGTTATAACGCTGGTTCAAAAAAATGTCGGCCTTGAAGATAAAGAAGGTGGTGGAAAGACTTCCTCTCTTGATGTTCTGCAGACTTTGGTGGAAGATAACACCGAACAACTGTTCGAGAAATAAACTATCGATGACCACCTCAAGGCGATTGGAAAGGTAAAAAGCTTGAAAGTTTAGGTTCCACACTCATTAAACGACTGATAAAAAAAAAAAAAAAACAGCTTTATGAAGTTTGTGCTACATTTCTTTGCCGAAACAAAAACAACCATTTTCTGTCCAGAATTGTTATTTGTGATGAAAAGTGGATACTTTACGATAACAATAAATGTTCTGGACAATGGCTCGACAAAGGATAAGCAGCAGAACATTTTCCAAAGTCCCCAACTCATCAAAAAAATGTGATGGTTACTGTTTAATGGGCTTCATTTGATTTGGTACACTACAGTTTCATAAATCCTAGGGAAACCATCAATGCATAATGTAAACAAATTAATGCAATGCATCAGAAATTGGCAATAATGAAGCCATCTTTAGTCAATCGGAAGGTGCCCATTTAGTTGCATGACAACGCCCTGCCATATGTCTCACGTGTGAAGTCACAAAAATTGTTGGAGCTTGGATACGAAACTCTGCCAAATCCACCCTAGTACCCACACCTTTCACCTACGGTTATCTTTTTTTAGACACCTGGACCACTGCTTAATGGACAAAAGGAATTGAATATTCATTTTTGGAGTTTATCAATTCAAAAGGTGGAAAATTCTATTCCGAGGGAATGGAAAAGTTGCCAACACGTTGACAGAAATGTAATGATATTAGTGAAGACTATTTTGATAAAAACAATAGTTGTAAATCTTTCATTTTCAAATAAAATCCGGACGACCCAACATTATACAGAAAATTAAGAACATCTCAAGACCGACGTTTCAGAAACATCGGTGTAGAGATGTTCTAAACTGCGATGTAT